GCCAGCCCACCGGAGCCTGCCAGTCCCACCATCGGCCTGGATAAGAAGACTCGCCGGAAGTTCCTGGACCTGGGGTGAGTGGAGGAGGGACCAGAGCCAAAGGCGCGGAGCTGTTGGGGCGCAGGGTGGCACAGTGGGCAGCACTGGCCCACTCCCCTCTCCTCTCCCCGTAGGGTCACCTTACGCCGAGCATCTACGAGCAAGAGCCGGAAGGATAAGGGCAGCAACCGCCTGTCCATGGGCAGCAGGTCAGTGGTACTCACCGCATCTCAGCCTGAGCTTCTACCCATCATTCCCTGTGGCCCCGGCCCTCTCCTCGGTGCCCACACCCATGCAGGACGCTCTCTCCACAGGGAGTCGGTGGAGGGGTCCAGCAGGTCAGGGGGCTCCCCGTTCCTGCCCTTTTCCTGGTTCACAGACAGCGGCAAGGGCTCAGCGTCCTCCGGCAGCACCACCTCCCCTGCCTGCTCCCCTAAACACGAGAGCTTCAGCCCTAAGAAGTCAGCTTCTCAGGTAAGTCCGTGGCCTTCTTGCCCCCACACTGGCCCCAGGGCTCAGAGACCTGAGTGCATGCTCCACTCCGGCTCAGGCTGGGACCCAGGCGTTCCTAGAGTCCACTTGTCCTCCACAAAGCCATTCGGGGATTCATTCATTCATCCATCTGTCTCAGTTTGTGCATTCACTTGTTCCCTTATTCATATTCTGATTCAGTTGTTGATTCATTCATTGCTTTGTTTCAGTACATCACTAAATACTGCGATTCCCCTAGCTCAGTGGCTGGCAAACGCATCAGTCAACAGAGCCAAGTATCAACAGCACGACGATTGAAACTTCTTTGAAGAGCCAAATTTTTTAAACTTCTTCTAATGCCACTTCTTCAACATAGACTCCCCCAGGTGGTGGTATTAAGTGGAAGAGCCACACGCAAGGGGCCAAAGAGCCGCATGTGCTCTCAAGCCGCAGTTTGCTGACCTAGTGTGCACCCAGCCTGAGGTCTCCTCTGTTCCTGCTCTCTTTCTGCCTGGCTCATTCTAGCCCCACGTGCCCCCACAGGCCTTAGGTCCTGGTGCCTCTCACAAGTCACCCAGCCATAGGGTGCCTGCCCAGCTCCTGGCTCAGGCATAGGGTGCCTGGTGCCTCGTCCAGGACATCTCCGTCCAGTGGGGGGTGGGTGGGTTGGGGGGAGTCCCTTGAGCTGGGGCGAGCTTTCTGATCAGCACCATGCACTCCCTCCTGTCCAGGAATCCACCCTGAGCGATGACTCCACACCCCCCAGCAGCAGCCCCAAGATCCCGAGCGGTCCCCGGCAGGAGGCCAAGTGCTCCTACCCCTACCACACGCTGTCCCAGTCTTCGGATGAGGTGAGCAGGCCCGGCCTCGGGCTCCGCCCCGTGAGCAGGCCACAGGCCAGGTCTTCCCCCCTCACTCTCCTTGGTCTCCGCCCCAGTTCCTGGACGAGCCTCTTCCCACTATCCACCACTGGACCAGTCAGCAGGTGGGCCAGTGGCTGCACAGCCTCAACCTGGAGCAGTACGCCGCCGAGTTTGCCGCACGGCAGGTGGACGGGCCGCAGCTGCTGCAGCTGGATGGAAGCAAACTGAAGGTGGGTCAGAGCCTGAGGCAGCCTTCAAGGACTGGGTTCCCCTACCCCGGCCTCGTCCCTCCCGCTGCCCTAACCCCTGCCGTCCAGGCAAGGTCCTTGGCCTGGTCTTTGTGCTCTAGCCTGGGTCCTCAGTCTGACTTGAAACTCAAACCCAATTCTTCAGTTTGACCTTCAAGTTCCAGACCTTGACCTTGAGGGCTTCATCTCGTCTAACTCTTGACTCTGACGGGTCTCCTGGTATCGGGGGAAGCAGGCCTCTCCCCCATCACCTTGTCTGATTCTCAGTGGTGGAGGCGGGTGGTGATGGAGGGTGAGCAGGAGGGGGCCTGATGTCTGTGCTGAGTTTGGGCCTGTTTCCACCTTCTGCCAAGTTGCTTGGGGAAGGAGTGGGGAGGAGAGTCCCCCGGGCAGTCTCTGGAGTGGGAAGGGGCCTCACCAACTGACCAGCTCTGTGACCTTGGGCAAGCTGCACCCCATCTCTGGACATCAGGGTCATGGCCAGGCTGCAATGCTGAGTGGAGGAGTGGGAGCCAGGGATTATGGGAAGTGGAGGATGGCAGGGGGGGGGGCGAGGGGGAGGGCTGGGGTGTTGGTAAAGGGCCTGGTGCTCTCACTCTCTCCTCTCCCAACCACCCCCATTCCAAATCCGGGCCCTGAGGGTGTTCTGATCCATTGGCAAGTCTGGAAGGCAGAAGCGACACTTCAGAGGGGACAGGTGGAGCGCCAGAGAGGGCACAGCCCCACACAAAGAACTGGGGGTGGGTCTGGCGCCTTCCCTCACTCTCAGCTCCTTCCGCAGAGCCTGGGGCTCAGCAGCTCGCATGACCGGGCGCTGGTGAAGCGGAAGGTGAAGGAGCTGGCGGCGGCCGCGGAGAAGGAGCGCAAGGCCCAGGAGAAGGCCGCCCGGCAGCGCGAGAAGCTCCGGCGCCGGGAGCAGGAGGCCAAGAAGAGCTAGAGGCGCGCAGGCACGCACCCGGCACGGGCAGCACGGGCAGCCGCCGCCCGGCGGGCACGGGCTCCCGGGGAAGTGGAGCTTGGGCTGGCCCGGCCCCACGGTCTCAGGGGTACATGCCCTCTCTCATCTGTCACTCTGGACCGAGATCTCCCAGAAAGGGAGGCCCAGGGAGAGGGCCGGGCACTAAACCGAACTGGCTTGGCACGGAGTTCCTGGGGGAGGCTGCAGGTTGTGGGGAGAGAGAGGGCAGAGGCCAGAGCTGAAGGCAGCCTGGAGCCCAGAGGCGCCTGGGTCAGTCTGACCCTCTGTCCTCAGGCCGCCGCGGTGCTGGGGCTGCATGGGGCCAGGGTCCCGGGCTCGGACAGGTGGCTGAGCTGCTGGGAGGAGCGGGTGGGTGGAGTCGTTCCTCTTGGGCTCTCGGGGGCGGCGGAGTGGGGGAGCTCTGTTCCCAGGGAGGCCGGCGGCACTGCAGCAAGCCGCACTCAGGTAGACTCCCGGTCTCCTCCTCCACAGGAGAGCAGAGGCAGCAGCAAGGCCATCCGCGGTCTGTGCAGGACCTCAGGCAAAGGGAGGGCGAACCCTCTTTCCCTCCCCTCCCCTGCGATCCCCATAATGAGATGACACCTCACAGGCCTGCCCCTCCCTGGGCCCAGCCAGGCCTGTGTCTGTCTGCTCTCCAAGGCAGGCCCCTCCTCCCCTGGCTGCCCTCACAAGCACCTGAGCCCTCCCTGCCCACAGAACAGACTCAGAGCTGGTGGAGATACAGGGCGTCCCTGCCAATTCCCGTGAGGGACTGAATGGGTGAGTCCTCACCCAGGCCGGGCAGAGAGAATTCTAGGTTCCCCGGAAACTGCTCGATTGGCAGGGTTTGTCAGCTCCCCCTCACCCGAGCTCTGCCTACAGGAGGGGGGCCCACCCCGTGGGGATGAAGTGCACCCTAGCAGCCCATGGGTGGCACCTGTCCTTGTAGGAGAGCATTCGGAGCTAGAAAACTAGCCCAGCTTCCGGAGCACTGGCCAGTTCCCAGTGGGGTTAGGGGGACCCCCTCCATCTGCCTGGAGCGGGGGACAGGACCCTGTGCATGCCCTTTCCCCTCCTTCCTGCCCAGGGCTCGCGGCTTGAGGGCCACCGTCCCTGGGACCCAGCCCTTTGCTGCCTGCGCTGGAGGAGAGGCTTCTGAGGGCAACAGATACGGGGGCACTGGCACCACCTGGGCTCGGTGGAGGCTGGTGGGGAGGTTGGAGGGCACCCGGGTCCTGGAAATCGTGGGAGCTCTGTGGGTGCCCACCTGCATGTGAAGGGGGAGGCAGTACTCAGTTTATCTCAATAAACACTTATGATGTGCCAGTGATCTCCGCCTTCCCGGGCGGGGGCCGGCCTGGGCCCGGGGGCTGTGCCGGGCCTGCTGTGTCCTGTGGCACACACCGAGGCACGCCTGCTGCTGTCCGGCCATCCTGGCGTGTCATGTGCCGGTCACGGGGCTGCGCCTGCACGCCTTGTCTTTTGTCTGTCCCGTGGCCCTCCCTCCCCGCAGGAACGCAGCCGGGCCGGTTCTCATCGCATCTCTTTACTGTGGGTGCCCCTGCACCGTCACGGCCGCTGGGGAGAGCACACACTTTAGCCCCCGTGTGCGGAGGGGAAGGGCGGGGACACGCAGGACTATAAACTAGCTATGTACACGGAGCATCGGGGGACAGCCACCCGGGCACGCACGGCGGCGCCGTGGGAGCTGGGGTGGAGCGCGGGGAGGGTGTGGGTGTGAGGTGGGCAGGGGGGTGTGCATGTTAGGACGTGCGGGAAGGGCTTGGGAGGCAGCGGAAACACTGCTGGGGCCCCCGGGGGCTTCGGGCAGCCGGCTGGTCTGCCTCCGGGTCCTCCCAGGCTCCTCCACTTTAGGGGTGAGGTCCTGGCAGGAACTCCCTCCCTCCTAATATTGACCTGAAGCTCAGAGTGGAGGGTGAGGCTGCCAGACCAGGGCCCCACCCAGGTACAACCCCTTCCCCCACCCACCACCCAGATCTGGGGGATCCTTTCCTATTGCTGGCACGGACCAGGGCGGGGTGCTGGGCAGACTAAGGGGGAAAGGCAAGCAAGGGCATCTGTTTGGAAGGCCAGGCTGTGGAGGGTGGTGGGGGGGATCCTGGCAGGAAAATGGCAGTTCTGGTATCAGGACTGCCATGGGGACACCCCAGCAGGTGGAGACACCCCCAATCCTCAGGGATCTCCCACTGGACACTGGGGAGACCACCTGAGAATCTCCAGACAGACAGATTGGCACTTAGAGGTCACCACAGACTGGTCACCACGGTGACGTCCACAGAGACAGGAGCTGGTCATTGGGAGTCTCCCCACCCGGGGGCAGGGGGCGGGGAGGGCAGCCGGGGTGGCCGGTCCCAGAGGCAGCAAGCAGTCCATCCTCTCAGGTGCAGAGGCGCCTTGGGCCTAAGTGACACGGTACGTGGATGTGTTCTTGGGCTCCGTGCTGGGGACACACCAGTCGCCGGCCTCCTGGATGGTCTGGTAGTGGCGCCAGGCCGACTTGTTGTAGACGGGCAGACGCTCCACCGAGTCCGTGGACAGGGCCTGGGGAGCATCGGGCTCAGCCTCTCCCACTGCCCAGCAGACACCCTGGCCCCAGAGTGGGCTGTGCTGGCTACTGACTGGGGCCCTTATATCAGTCCCGCAAGTTCCAGACATGCTGAGACAACCAAGCCTGGCCCAGGGAGACTCTCACAGGGTCTGTCCCTCTGTGCGTCTTGCTCCTGCCCATTCAAGGAGGGGGCTCAGAAGGCCTAGGAGGGAGGCTGGGCAGAGTGTTCTTAAAGGAGGTCAGCAGCTCTGGGCCTCCATGCCCCCCTTGAGCTGAATGACACATTCTCTATGGTCCCCCGCCTTCCGTCTGGGTCTGACAGGTCAAGCGTCCCCAGAGCAGGGGTCTCAGTCACGGACCATGGACTCCCTGAAACTGCCTGCCACGCTGGGAGTGTCCAGGGCTGGGGGACCTGTAGCTTTGCTCTGGTTCTGTCTGGAATTGGAAAGGATGGGAGGAATCTAACAGCAGGCGGATCCTGCCAGACCTGCCCACCAGCAGGGCTCTGTGGGGGGGGGGGGCCCTCACCTTCAGATAGATGACGGCATCCGTCCCAAAGCCCTCCATGGAGAAGAGCTGCAGGTCCCCCTGGAAGTACTTGGCATAGAGGCGGGAAATGGGGAGCCCGTACCCGAAGCCAGCCTGCAAGGGGACAGGAAGGGAGTGTGATGAGGAGGCTGGCGCTGCAGAATATATAGAATGAGCTGAAGGCATGCAAGGGGTCCCCAGAATTCAGATGGGAGGAGACACAAGAAACAGGAGGTTCTGGGGCAACACAGGAGCTACGGGGTGACCAAGGCCAGTCTGGGGGAGGGAGGAAAGCTGAGGAGGCATGTGGGGCGTTAGCAGGACAAGGAGAGGAGCTAGGTCCTGGCAGCCAGGGGATCTGACTCCTCTGAGTCTCAGTTTCCCAAACCCAGCTTTACCTACACTCCTGGGAGGGGACAGGAAGGTGCTGAGTTGAACAAATAGTAACATTGTGGGGAGATAAGGTGACAGGCAGACCTCCACAGATAGGTAGGGAGGGGCAGGCTGGGCAGAGACAGGGAGGCCCAGCCTCAGGAGAGGTGACTGACATCACACACAGCCATATGAGAATGGGGAGACCCTGAGAGAGAGGGAAGCGAGAGAGAGAGAGAGGGGGGAGGGGGGAAGGGAGAGGGAGGGGTGACAATCTGAGAGAGATGAAGAGACAGACGGGATCCTTTAGGAGGCAGAAGGGGAGCCGGAAGGAAGCCTTCTCACCAGTGGGGTGCCCCCTGTGCCAGGCTGGGGGGTGGGTGCGGTGGAGTACATGTAGCTGAAGAGTTGATCAATCTTCCTCAAGGGGACACCCCCACCTCGGTCACTCATCTGGGGGAGATGAGACATGTCGGGGGGCTCTCCAGCCTGTTTTCCACACATCCCCACCCTTGACCCCCTCGATCTTCTCCTGGGTTTTCTTACCCTCAAGGTCTTCCCAAGCCCACCTCCTGGCAGAAGAGTCTCCCCACTTCCCCCCAAAATCAAGGGTTACATACTTTGATGGACAGATCTTCCTCTCCCAAGGCCACCATGACCTTGACAGGAGGGAGAACGAGGCTGGATTCATGGCTTTCCACGGTCGCTCGCATGGCATTCTGTGGAGGGAAAGAGGTAAGGATGAGAGAAGCCAAGCCCTAACTGCCTTCCACCCAGCCAAGTACCATCCCGCAGGCTCCTCACCTTGAAGAGTTCAAAGAGCATGTGGTAGAGATGGGAGGGGACATAAACCATGTGAATAGGCTGTTTGGAGTTGGATGCTGCAGGGAAGTCAAGACCAATGAGTAGGAAATTCATTCACCCAGCATCTAGCACCTCGTACTCAACCACCACCCATTAACTACCCATCTGCTGCTCAAATTACTGAGCATTCACTCATCCATCTATCCATTCAGTGTCCATTCAACCATCTATCCATATAGTATCCATCCATTACACAATGTCCATCTGTCCATCTGTCCGTCCATCCATCCATCCATTCAATATCCACTAATTCCTCTATCTACCCATCCACCGTCCATTCAGTTATCCAACGGTTCTTCAGTCTATGCATCTGTTCAGACATATATCCTTTCCATCTATTCATTCATAGAGTATATCTCCATTCCTCCATTCATCCACTGTCCAGGTATCTATCCGCCTATTCATTTAAGCATCAAATAGGATCTGTCTATCCTGTATCCAGCCTCCTAGCATTCGCCTGGACACCAGAACCCCCTGCTTTCACCCTGGGGGGAGAGGGCAGGGTACTGCCCAGGTGATGCTGACAACAGTCCCGTATCCCAAGAATCACTCTAGCCTGGAGATTCTTGGTGTCAAGGACTAAGTGTTTCCCCCTAGTGCCTGGCACAGAGATTTGTGGGTAGCAGGAGCTCAATAAGTGTGCAATGGGCCAATGAATGAGACTCTCAGCCCTGTGCTGAGCAGTGGGGACATAAGGAAAAATAAAATCCACCCCTACCCTCTTAGAAATGCAAGTCTGGACAGAAACGCACACTGACTTTCACATCCGGTGTTGTACCCAGGGCTGTAAGCCAAGCCCTGGGCTGGGCCTGGGGATACCACAGTGAGGTGGCCTGCCTCTGCCCTGAGGTCGTGGTCCCCAAGTAATTCACACAGGGACAGGCTGGTGCCTGTCTTCTCTGGGAGTCTGGGAAGGCGTTTCGGGGGAGCTGGACTGGAACTTGGCCTTAGCGAACATTAGGATATAGGCAGGGTGACTTTGAGGAACAGGACATGAAACACCTCAGATTCTGGCACACGGGCAGGGCAGGGCTGAGGGCAGATGTGGGAGGAGTAGAGGTAGCTTCCAGGTCCCTGATCCTCCTCTCCCCTGTACTCCCTGGCTCTCAATAAGCCCGGACTCCACTATCAAATCCACCCCTACTTCTCACCTCTGATGCCTTTCCCTCCCCTGGCCTGGATTCCTGCAGTGACCTCTCAGCTGCTCTTCCCTGTCCTCTCTCTGCCTCCTCCAACTCTAAGTATCTTAGCATGTAAGTTGTCAGATCCTGGCATCACGGGTGCTGCAAACCCTCCAGTGGCTCCTGCTGCACTCAAAATCCCAGCTCCTGCTGAAACCGGTTTGGCTCAGTGGATAAAGCGTCAGCCTGCGGACTGAAAGGTTCCAGGTTCGATTCCGGTCAAGGGCATGTACCTTGGATGTGAGCACATCCCCAGTAGGGGGTGTGCAAGAGGCAGCGGATCGATGATTCTCTCTCATCAATGTTTCTAACTCTCTATCCCTCTCTCTTCCTCTCTGTAAAAAATCAATAAAATATATTTAGAAAAAAAATCCCAGCCCCTGTCGGTGGCCCACGGGCCCTGCATGCCCCAGCCTCTCCCTCCAGCCTATCACCCCTGCGATCTCTGAGCCCCACCATACTGCTCCTGCTGGCCCTTGATTACCTGTCCTAAGTAGGACCCTGTCACTGTCTTCTGGAGCCATTCTTCCCTTCTGCATTCACTAACAGATACCCCTCCCCCAGTGTTTTAACCGGCTCATGGCTACCCAGCCAGAGACGAAATTCTGTCTCCCTTGCGGCTGGGTAGCCAGGTGACTTAGGGAAGTGATGTATTTGGGCCCTGCCTCCTCTCCCTCCCCCCCCTTACCCCCTTCTCCAGGCTGGAGAGAGGGAAACCTCTTCCATAATTAAGCCTGTTATTTGGATTCTGGGAAGGCAGCCAGACTAACTAATAGCCCATCTAATCCACCATTCTGCCCCATCACTGTCACGTGATCCCATTGTGTTTCCTGCCCGTCCCTTCTTCGCATGATATGAAAGTATCTTGTATACTGTTTGCTCATTGGAAAAAGGCTTCATTCCTCAACCTCCCTGCACCCAGAACGGCAGCTCCGTAAGAACAGGGACCTTGCCTGTTACGTCTGCTGCTGGATAAACACAGGTTTACATTGTTCGCATGGAAAAAGACATGCAGTTATGATTACGACAATAGCTTTACTGTCAAATTAACGTCACAATGCAACTGTAAACCTCTGTATTTACCAAATAAATAACACTATTACTAAAAAAAAAAACTAAAAAAAAACAAACCCAGCTCTGCTTCTCCCCTCTCCAGATTACAGTTCATTCCCTAACTCCCACGTCCCCAGCCCTTGGATACACACACACACACACACACACACACACGCAGCCTTCCTCACTCACCGTTGATCTCCTGGATCTCCAGTTCAGGTGATGCCATGTAATACTTGTCACACAGGAGCTTGGCCATGTCATAGGCATCTGAGGGAAGAGAAAGGTCATCCAGAGAATTGGGGGGGAGGGGACACTTACCCAGCAGACAGTCCTCTTGGCACCAACACTGGGCATCCCCAACATTGAACCCATGGGGATGTGGCCCCCACCCACTAGGGTACGGGTCACCGTCCGGCCAGGGAAGCGTGGCAGGGTCACCGGGCTCCTCGTGGACCGGGCGCAGTGGGGGAGGCTCACCTTTCACCACCTCAGAGATGCAGCAGTTGGGGTCGATGCTGCCGATGTGCTTGGGGTGGGCTGGGTTGGTGCTGCCGTCAAAGATCAGGGCTGCAGGGGAAGGAGGTGCTGCTGCTGGGGCTGCGGAGCCCGTCCCCGTCCGGCTCTCCCTCTTCCCCGGGGTCCTCCACTCTCTACTTCTTTTCCTAATGCCTCTGACCCTAAAGCTGCCCCCTCCCCATCCCCTGCCCTCTCCTCTGACCCTGACCCCTCCAGTGAGAGTTTTACGAATAACACTCTGGACACTTTTTAACGGGGTGGCCCGATTCCGTAAACAGTTACAGCGATGGATCTCACGCTGCCATGGCCCGCCCCGCCCCGCCCCGCCCCGCCCCGGCTCACTGTGCTGGTTGATGAGCATGCGGATGGAGATGCGGCTGAGGTAGAAGCGGTCCAGGAAGTACTGGATGTTCTGGTTGGACACGGGGTCGTCGCCATAGGCGTCCTTGTACTCGAGCACGCCCTGTGCCATGGTGGGCACCACGTCGTTGTGGCGGTTCCGGATGGTGACCAGGGCCTCGGTGAACCTGCGGGGGAGGGCAGACGTTGGCTCTCACCCAGGCCCAGCCTAGGGACACCCTCAGACTCTCCTCTGCTTCTGGCCTCCTCGCCACAGTCACCCACTCAAGCCTTCTCACCCCGATGATCGCACAGCACCCACCTCGTTCCTCCCGAAGCCCTCACTGACCTTCCCACTGCCTGCCTGCCTGGGAGTTCCCCAGGGGCAGGGCTGGATCCCCCGTCAGACTCAGGGCACCCTGAGGACAGGAGCCGTCTCCCCCTTCAGACTGGATAGCCTGAGGGCAGGGGTCATTTCTTCCATCCTGCCCGCACTTCTGCCCCTGGGACTATGACCGTAGATGCCACTCGCCTCCACCTGCCCTCCTGCCCCCACAGGGCCCTCACTCACTGGCTCAGGGTGCGCTGGTCCTCTGGGTCCTTGTCCAGGAACACCATGATGTCCAGGAGGCTCTGGACGTACCTGCGGGCAGGGGAACAGGGGGGGACATCGCCTCAGCTCTGGGCGGGCCCCCTCCCCACCCGGCGCAGCTGCCCTCACCCTGGCGCTGTCCCTCCCGCGGGCACCGCCTGGAGCTGCGCTGGCGGACAAGCTGCATCGCAACCCTCTCCCCCCACACGTGCACGGTCTCCCTGACAACAGCCAGTTATGCAAGAAAACCTTCACGTGCTGGTCCCCCTTCGAGCCCCTTTGCTTTGGATCCTAGGACAGGCGCCTGGAAGGGCCTTGCAGACCATCCATCCAGAGAGTCTCAGGGCTGAGGCGAGCGAGGCCCTGGCGAGCACGGGACCCTGGGCTGGCAGTGAGAGAAGGCTGGGCAAGTCACCCTACCCCCTGAGCTCTGCTATGGAAGCAGATCTTCCTGTCTGCCCACAGGGTGTTACAGCCATGGGCTCCCCCAGAGAGGGGGCTCCGTGAGGAGGAGGACAGACCATACCCCGGCTCTGGGCTTGGCGGGCTTGGGCTGGGCACCAGGAGCCGTGCAACCTGCCAGGGAACTGGATTAAATGGTTGCTGGGAAGAACTGGGGGCAGGGTGGGTGGGGGCAGGCCCAGCTCTGACAAGCCTGGGAGCTCACACCCTCCGCAGGGCCCAGCAGGAATGGTGCCTCCATCTGTACGCCTGGTCAGGAGGCCAGTGTCCGAAGGCTCTAGAAAGAGCTGGTAACCAAAGGGAGCGCCAGGAAGCCCTAACTCAGGGACAGCCGGAGACCAGCTTCTGCAAGGGAGTCAGGCCCACCGATGGCAACAGGCGGTACCAATCTGGAGCCACTGGTCCCCGCTCCCCTGAGCCAGGACACCCCACCGTTTCCCTGCTAACATGCCCCTCTTGCAGCTTGCTCTGGGGAGACCGGAGAGCTGAGCCTCTCTCTGACAGAAACACTTCCAGCCAATAGGAAGGAGGACTACGCAGAGCCCTGAGCAGGGAGGACCCCCAGGGCCTACTAGCCTCTCAGAAAAGGCTCCTCCCTCTCTTGCTTAAGACAGGAGAGAGGCCCTGGCTGGCTTGGCTCAGTGGACGAAACGACGTAGAACAACGTCATGGTTTCCGAGGACCTGCAGTACGGCCCCCTTTCTGCAGACGAGGAGCCAGCTCAGAGGGGGCAGGTGATGGGTCCCCCCCCACACCGGAAGCAGCTGCACTGGACCTCACACCCAGGTCTGTCTGCTGTCAAGTCCACACCCACGACCAGCTGCTCCCTTTGTGCCCGGGTCCTATCAGTGACGCCGATGTCGGTGGTCGTGGCAGGCAGCACTTCCCGGGCACCGGCCTGGGCCAGGGCTCCACTCCATGCTTCCCTGCTTCCCCCCGCAACCTCCACCATCGCCCCAGAAGGTGGTTGCTACTGCTGGCTACTGCCCCACTTTACAGACGAGGAAGTTAACCTGCGAGTGAGGCTTCTCTCTCGCAGGCCTGTGTGACTCCAATTCCTTGCTCCCTAATCGTGCCCAGCATTGAGCTTTGTGTTCACGCAATTGTTGGACGGAGTGGACCTGCAGGTGTGCAATGCTGGGGACAGGTAGAGAGAGGAAGGGGAGTGGGCCAGCTGGAGAGCAGGGCCCTGGAACCCCTTCCCAAGACCCAGAGGGCAGGCAGAGGGGAGGGGTGGGAGCTAGGAGGCCTGGCCGCGTGGTGGTACTTGGCCGGGAGCCGGGAGGGCAGAGTCCCGGTGTACGGGAGGAGGGTAAATGCTCTAGTTGCAAGCACTGCCCCTCGTGGCTGCCTACTGAGCCGTAGAGGGCAGAAAGGGGCCTGGCCACATGGGCAAGGAAGTACACAAAGGGCACCGGAATAGACTGGCAGTGGGCAGTGCCGGGAAGTACACAAAGGGCACCGGAATAGACTGGCAGTGGGCAGTGCCGGGATGGGGAGAGCTGCCAGCCCCAGGCCTCAGTCTCCTGGACTGGGAGGCAGGGTTCAGACTCCCTGCCTGCCTCCCTCACGGGGCCGCTCCTGCAGGGAGTAGCTCTGAGTGTACGCTTGGACGGGAGAGCAGAGGATGGGAAGGATTTTCCCGGGGGACCCCAGTCTTGGCCCGAAGCCCTGCAGGGGCCTGGCACACACAGGAGTAAGGGCCAGATCTTGGAGCCACACTGGCTCCTGGGCTGCACAGCCCTCTGAGGGCCCGAGAAAGCACTGGGCTGGGACACGGGAGGCCTGAAAGCAGTGGTGCGATGACAGGTGCGTCCCTTCCGGTGACACCCTCGGCAGGCAGCGGCGCCAGCATGTGCCTGGGGAAGGCCGGGCCTGCCAGCCTCAGCAGTAAACAAGGCCGCCAGACTCCCTTAGTGAGATCTGGAGCTCTCTCCTCCTGCTCCCCCCTCCTACACACACACACACACACACACACACGCCCAAATCCTGCCTTTTGAGGCTTTCTATCCAGTTCAGCCTGGACTGCTGAACAAGGGGTGGAATGCCAGGAGGAGGGAGTGTGGGCATGTGTCTGTGTCAGAAATGCTGGAATGAGTGTGCACTGGGGGAGAGGTGCACAGAGCCTTGTATGGAAGCAGGAGGAAGCGCTGATGCAGGTGGGAGTCTGTGTGCCTGTGGGTGTGTGCGAGGGTGTGTGTACTGTGCATTAGTGCCCACGCCTCTGGGGACAAGGGTGTGGACAGGCAGTGGGCGGTGGGGAGGGGGGGCAGATGTGTCGTGCACTGGAAGTCACTCTGTGGAAGGGTGGGGGGTGGGGACCCTGACCAGGCAGGCTTGGGTCCCCCGGCTGACTGTACCTCTTTAGAGAGGCCCTGGAACCACTCAGGTCCCCATCTGTAAATGGGCTCATAGCAGTGGCATGAGAGGAGATGGTGCAGGTCGCTAGTTTCCACTCCGATTATGTAAAGAGCGGCTGAGGGAGCCAATGGGAGGGCTTGGCTAAAGCCCCAGCCCCGCGCCTGGCAGAGCAGCTGTGGATGCGGGGAGCCTGTGCTGATGGTGGCTATTCTCTTTAAGGGCCAGGAGTGTTCCTGCGATGGGGGTCGGGGAGGGGGTCCTCCCTGGGTGGGATTTGGCATCCATACACCATGCTGACCTGCAAGGGAGTTTCCCAAGAAGGTGCTGATCTGTGACATGGCCTCCCCACCCCTCCCTGCAGACTCTCATTAGTGACTCACTGTCGCTGGCTTCTACTCTGCTCCTCTCCCGTCCCCTCTATTTTCTGGAAGCGCGTCCCCACCAAATCCGCGCCCTCCCTCAGGCTTTCTCTCCGAGAGGAGTCAAGGTTGCCCTTTCTATGCTCCAGGGACACTAGCCATCAAGCAAGATTCTGTGACTCCCACTTTCCCACCGACTGTGATGTGGAATCTGACCCCAGGCCACCGCCGAGAACACAGCCCTCCGCCTTTCCCTTCAAGAATGCAGCCTCCAGCGCACCCAGCCCAGCCCGGTGGGAATCCCAGCACTCCCAGTGGCCTCGGGCAGGGTTCCTAACCTCTCTGCACCTCTTACTCATCGGTAAAATGGGAACTGTAGCAAGGCCTGCTTCATAAGCTGTTGTGATGGTTCAATAGTTAATACAGGGACACGCTTGGAGCAGTTTCTGATGCACAGCAGGCTGCCAGGTATGTCTCCTATGTCATCACCATCGCCATCACCGTCACCATCACCACCATCACCATCACCACCATCACCATCACCATCATCACTACCTTGTCTCAGAGGACTTCTGCCGTGACCTTTGCCTGGAGATGCTGCTGCTCAGAAGCCAGAGGCATCACTTGTGTTTACAGACACCCCACCCCTTTCCCGTCTAGCAGTGGCACTTGGCCCTTAGAAACAGCCTGGATCCCCATTTTACAGACGAGAAAACCAAGGCTCAGAGAGGCCACGTGGTTTTCACCAAGGATTAAGGTTCCAGCGAGCAGCAAGGCCAAGCCTCAGAATAAGCATGCTGAGGCCACACCCAGGGCTTCCCACCACGTCCAGTCACGTCCAAACAGGGGCCCCGGTACCAAGTTGTCCAGTTGGAATAATTTATCAGGTTCACTTGGAACCAGGAATTCCCCTCCTGCTCTCAGTGGCTCCTGCCTAGTGCCTCTCCCAGCCAAGTAGAAACTCCATTAGTTATTGCCCCATATTGACTATTCACCACCATGACCACCACCACCACTACCACCACTACTAGTATTTGTACAGGATTTTTCCAGTTTCCACAGGGGAGGTTTTGTTCCTTATTCATTAGACTTTGAAGCTAGCGGCCTTCTGGCCATACTCCCTGGTAGGTCATACCCCTCCTCGCATGCAAACTCTGCCCACCTCTACTGCCCCCATCACCCAAGCTGGCAGGGGGTTCTCCCGGAGAGAGCTGCACCCTCTCAAGGCAGCCACCCCATCCCTGTCCGGACGGGACAGTCCGTCCTTCCTTCCCTCAGACCTCACCCTTTCTGGCTGCAGCTGATGCCCATCCTGGCAACAACCCCCGCAGGCTGACCCTCCGGGGTGCCAGGCACTCCACAATCCCTCCGCTGGCTCTCCTCCGAGCCAAATCATCGCTGGGGCCTGTTCTCTCAGATCTAACTTCACTCCCTCCTGCTGTCGGTGGACATTACTGACAGAGGAATAAGTCAGGCCGAGTTCCCACATGTGCAACTGACTTCCAGGAAGGGACTTTGTGGGGCCCTGGGGAGGCATGGGCAGTCCAGCAGCTCCCTGTCCCCCCTCCCCGCCATCCCTGGCTCTCCCAGGAACACAGTGTCCAGGGAGGGGCCTGAGAAGCCGCGTCCCGGAGTCAGGGACCAGCTGAGAGGCAGCCAAGTCAATCAGCCAGACAGCCAGCGTGGGGCAGGGAACAGATGGCGCCTTCTGTCTCCCCCCATGACCTCCACGCTGCCCCACGGTGGGAAATGCACGTAAGCTCTGAGGTCATGGACCAGGGAGGGACAGGGCTCAGCAAGGGGTAACCTGGTTGGGCGACATGAAAATCATCTCTGTGCCCCCACGCCACCTTCCCAGCTCTCACTAACAGCACTGTATCCACAAAGTAAGCTCTCGGATGCCCTTGCGAGGCACTTTTCCTGCCTCTGTACCTTTGTACTGGCAGCTCCTGTGGCCTGGAACGTCCTTCCCTTCTTCCTAGATCTAGCTCATGGAGGCCCAGCGACACATCGCCTCCTCCACGCACTGCATACCCACTTCACCTTCCCCACAACGTCCTGGCCCAACTGGGATTCACTCCGCACAGACTGATGCCTGGCTTTGCGCACAAAACACTTTCCTTCCGTGTTGTATCTCATTTAATGGAAGTGAGTCACGCATATGCGGATCTGTGCAAGGAAAAAAAAAGGCTGGCAGGGCGCCAGCAGAACCTCACAGAGCAGAGCCTGAGCACCGAGTGTTTAGTTATGGGGTGGAGGGCAGTGCTTGGCACTCTCTTCTACCTCCTCTTTTTGGTGTTTCCCAAATGCCAAAGCAAACATGTTACACTTCCTCAATGAGGGTAAACGCTCCAACCCGTGTTCCTTTTAAATATCATCTGTCTTCTCCCTTTAAATAAAACGAACACTTCAGCAGGTCACTGTTCCTACCACTATCTATGAGGTGCTTAATTTGACATTTTTCTTCTGCCTTCCCACCACCTCACCCCTATCAAGGTCATGGGCTCCCCTAGTTTGACCTTGGGCTCCAAGCTGGTGTGTTACTTCTGAATCCAAAAGGAACCAATGCCTGACCACACCCCTGGCAGCCAGATCCAGCAAGATTCCCGCACCGAAGACCATCCATGATCAGCCCCTCATGGGCCCGGTTAGAGAGTCAAGGCGGTTCTTCTCCCCGTGACTGGCCTGGGCCTGCAGCGTCCAGTTACTTAGCCCTGGACAGAGCTCAGCAGTGAGCATCACAGCTCCTCTGGGGCTGCTGCTTTGTGCAATAAGCTTTGGACCTTTGCCCTCGGAAGCTCTCTGGGTGTGGGTCCTGTGCCTATGGGAGTGTTTTCCAACATCCAAACCGGTGCGACTTGTAGCTCGGACAATAGGCTTAAAACGTGCTTCTTCCTGTTTCTGTCTTCCAGTGTGGCCGCCGGTAACTCACCGGCAGGAGCTGGTTTTCAGGGCCAGGGCTGGGGGCGAAGGCTGGCGTAAGCCTGACGGGGTTATGGCAGTGAAAGGGGTTTCCCGGGTGGAGCTGGGCTTTCCAGAGGAAGGAGAGTGGTAAGACACGAGGTTAGGAGCCTGATCTCAGTCCCTGCTCTGGCCCAGCATTTTGCTTGACTTTGAGTGACTCCCCTCTGTCCCTGCCTCCATCAAGGCTGCTGGGAGCACGGAGACACCACCTCTGAGCCCAGGGCACTGGCCATGGAGGGAAGTGTGGGGACCTGGCCAGGGGTCTCACCAGCTCTGTACCAGCTGCACCGAGGGGGTGCCCAGCACCCGGTCAGGAAGCAGGTTGATCTCCTTCATGATGTTGGCCAGGCGCACGGGCAGCTCCTGCCGGAGGAAGGTGAAGGAGGTCTTCTCACAGGCATTGCTGGACCCTGGAGGGAGGGAGGGATGGAGGGAGAGGGGTGAGCGCACAGAGCTGCAAACCATCGGAGCCGCAGGACAGACATCTCGAGGGTCGGGTGGATCTAATCCGTCAGTTCCTGAGGACTCAGAGGAGTGCTGGCGGCACAGCACATGCAGGCAGCTCTCCCGATGCCCTGCAGTGTTCTGACCGCCCCACCACCCCGTCTAACCCGTTGGGGAGCGGCATCTTCTCCTCACCCCCAGCTGAACCCTGCTCGCCTTCGTGGAGCGAGCTGCCTCTGGCCTAACTTATCTCACTGCTTCTCTGTCCTTCCCTCCTACCAGGCACTCACTTCAAGGATTTCCCAGGTGGGCAGAGCAGGCTGGGAAATCCATCCCTTCCCGGGGCTGGGCCCCGGCGGAGGGGGTATTCCTGGACCACCGCAGCTACAGGCCCCCCAGCACCCTCTCTGGCCCAACACATCCTCACCCAGCTGGTCCTGATGACCACGGCAGGGTGCCCCGCGTTAATGCCCGTTAATGCCCGCCACCTGTGAGGCAGCCAGGGCCGAAGGATGGCAGTAACCCAAATAACTTGGTCCTTGGCTTGGCTTCAAAATGAAAAGATGGTGAAGGACTGAATGAGGCCAGAGGCTGCAGTCAGGAGACCTAGGTTCCAGTCCAGGTTTTGCCCCCGAATCTGTCACTCAGGACGTGTTCCTATCCTTCTGAAGGCCTCAGTTTCCCCCACTGTACAAGTGGACCAAACGCTACTGTGAGCCCCTCCCAGCTGTGACATTTGTGTCACTGGGGTCCATCCGGTCCGGACTGAACTTCTGCGGGGGGTTTCGAGGGGGCACAGGAGGCTTTCCGACACGGGGGCAGCTTCAACGGGGCACAGGGCAGGCGGCCAAGTCCAGGGAAACAGGTGCTCTGGGTCCCGCTGCCTCCTCCCTGCCCGCTCCCAACAATGACGCAGTTGTAACCTGAGCCAGGCACTGTCTCAACTCCTGAGAGTCCTGGGCACCCCCTCCTCATCCCCAGGTGGCATCGTGGAAACAGTCGTGTAGTCTAGACAGAGCCTGCACAGTGGCTCTCAGTCACCAGCTGGCACAGCCTTGCTCCTGCTCCAGAGGCACCCCCAGGACCCTGACGGTGGGTGTTCCTAGCCTAGGCACCTAGGGGCAGCCACGGGTGGGCGCAAGCTGCCCGACTCCATCTCATGGGGCCCTGGGTCCCTGCCGGCTGGGCATAGGCAATCAGGCCTAAGGGGATTTGATCTTCAAGTGTCCTTGCCCACAGTGACAGTGGGGGGAAGGGGGGCCTCCGTCAGGGAGTGGAGGTATCCCGGTCTGGGCCTCTCCTGTGGACACCTTCTGAAAGAGCCCCTTCCCCACTGACCCCTCGGTGCCCAGCCCAGGCCTCCTTCCAAAGGGCTGCACCTCCCAGGGCTGCCTGGTACTCCCACCAGCAGCCCCCCTCCCCTATTTCCTCTCTGTCTCCCACTCGTAGCGTCAACAGGACCTTTTATATAAGCCTGGATATACTCCCTACCTCCTTCCTGCCCTAGTATCCCCAGTGCACCCCCCTTATTCTCCAAGACCCCTCTCAAAGCCCAGTAACACACCCGGACATCCCCCGCCCCCCCATCCAATGCCCTTACTTCCCATTCATAGTGAGTCCAGAGACCCTTCAGCCCAGGTACCCACAGCCCTATCAGGCCGGGTGGCCCTGCCTCCCCATTAACCCTTTCCTGCCCGCTGCCCTCCAAGCAGCCCTCGCCTGTCACTCAGGGCCTCTCTCTTCCGCGTGCACCCTCCTTGGCCAGGACCCCTCCATCCGCTCCACCCCGGCGCCCGCGGGGCCCGGCGCCCCCGGCCCAATCCGTACCGAAGTCCAGGAACTGCTTCATGGACAGCGGGGACGGGGAGAACTTGCTGAAGTGCTCGATGTACTTGGGCGCCCCGGCCAGGGACGCGTTCTTGAGCAGCGCGCGGAGCCAGCGCATGGTGGCGGCGGGACCGCGGCCTGGCTTCGGGCTCGGGTGTGCGCGCGGCGGGATCTCGCGCTCGGTCCGGCCCGGTTCGGCCCAGCCCGGCCTAGCGGTTCCACGGCCCTGGCCGGCCTCCAAAACCCGGCCAATCGGCTGGAGGCGGCTCCCCGCCGCCGCCAATGGCCGCTCACAAACAACTCCGGGACAGCCAATCGCCTCCCGCTCCGGCACGTGGCTTCTCTCCCGGGCCCGCCCCCTCACCCGGATTGGCTCGGGACGGCCTGTTGTTGTCTTCGGGCCGCGCGGAGAGCCCGCCCCCCTCGGCGCCCTCCGCCGGGTCCCCAGCCCGGACCAACCCGTTAACCCCTCCGTCCCGGAGGCCCGTGATTTCTCCTCTTTCCCCCTCTGTCCTTCCTTGCTCCCTCCGCGACTCCCCAGTCCTGCCTTCTCCGATCCGTCCGGGTAGCTCTCAATGAACCCTCGTGCTCCTGATGTCCTGCGTCACCCGCCCCAATCGCAGTCCCTCAGTGGGTTCCCAGTCCGGGTGACAGGGACTGGGAATGTTTGCAAACTTCGGGGGGAGGATGCCAGCCCACCCACTCCGCAAGGACCCAGCCACCAACGGAGGAGGAGGCAACTTTCCCCACCCTGTGCTCCTCTGAAGAAGGTGATTTGTGCTGGGGGGCAAGGGAGCCCCCTTTTTCCAGCAACCCCAGCTCTCTGGTAGGAACGTAGCACGCCCTCTTGCGGTTGGACATGGTATGTCCTATCCACCGACTCGCCTTTCAGCCCTCGGCCTACACTTGCCAAGTGCTTAATATGTGCGAGGCTTTGTGCTGAGAACGAACAGTCCATACAGACAGGAGTAAGACACATCCTTTCTCAGTTTCGGAGTTAGCTACATGAGTAAATAACTAAGTGAATAGACGTAACAGAATGTGATCATAGCCAACGCAGAGCTATGGGCAAGGCTCCGCATGGAAGGGACTCTCAGCTGACCTAGTGTTACTGCTGACCCAGTGAATAACAGATTCTGGAAAATAAACTGTGGCCTCCAATGACTGGTCTTGAGAGCTCTCTGGGTAGGGGTTGAAGGCTTTTTTTTCTAGAGGAACTGGACAGTCCACTGCCAATTGACCCAGGCAGGGGCAAATCCCAGCACAGACAAGGGAGTGGGGCGCTGGGCCCACGACTGTGAGGTGGGCTCTTATGGAGGGTGGAGGGCAGGCAGCTGGGAGGCGCCCAGGCAGATGTCAGGAGCAGCTCCCCGGAGAATGCCTGGGTCGGTGGGCTCTCACAGAACCTGTGTCTAGATTTCTCCGGTAATAAAATCAGTGGAGTCTCGCCAAAGGCACAGCCCGTGGGGAAAGTTAATAGAAGCACCTGTGCCATCATTTAGGAGGAAGTCAAGGGGAAACAGCCTTTCTCCGTTCCCCAGGCCTGTGTGGCGGGAACAGCCTCAGGGCAGAGGAGGAAGCGGAGGGCTTGATCCAGTGCTGGGGAGCGGGGCCATGTCAGCTCAGGATGAAGTGCTCCTGCCTGGAGGCCTTGGGTCACTGGTTCACCTTCTGATTATCTACTTATCATGACACCTGCAGGTGGTGGTGGGAAATTGAGGCAGAAAAGCTGGTCCTTACCTAACATGAATTAAGCCACGGGGGTGGGGGTGGGGGTCTCTCAGCTCCCCACCCTTGCAACCAGGCTCCCACCATTGTTGCCTAGAACCACCTGTTTCTACAACATGTAGCTTCCTGCCTCTTCCAGACCCTGCGATCACCCTCCCCCCACCTCCCTCCCAGAGCCAGCTCCCTGGCCACCAAAGAGCCACTTTTCATTCATTCCACCTGCTCTATTCACGTCTTCCCCCTCCTCTTACGTTCTGCATTTCAGTTCCCTAAGACCAGCCTTTAGACTAGAGCAGTGGTTGGCAAGCTCATTCGTCCACAGAGCCAAATATCAACAGCACAACAATCGAAATTTCTTTGGAGAGCCACATTTTTTTTAAAACTTAAACTTCTTCTAATGCCACTTCTTCAAAAATAGGCTCACCCGGGCTGTGGTGTTTTGTGGAAGAGCCACACTCAAGGGGCCAAAGAGCCACATGTGGCTCAGGAGCCGCAGTTTGCCCACCACAGGACCAGCGCATCCCGGAGAGTGGGGAGGCATCTCCTCCATCGGTCTGCACCCTCCTGACCTGAAGGCCCCTGCACTGCGCTTTGTCCAGCTGGGGGTCAGCTAGACGTCACAGCCCGTCAGAATGAGTGAGGAGGTGGGGGGTAGGGGGGAGGCAGCAGAGGCAGCGTGTACAAACGGGAGCTGTTTATTGGTTGACGTGAGAAGCCTATATACAAAGAAGGCACAAGGAGGGGAGGGGGCTCCCCTGCTACAGTACCATGGAAGGGGCGGGGGGCTGCCAAGAGGGGGTTTCTGGAACCAGCTTCGACTCCCAGAATGGGCCTCAGGGCTCGGCCCCCGGGGAAGAAGGCAGAGCTGGTTGGTGATGAAAGCCAAGGACAGCCAAGAACTCCACCTCGGGGCCCCAACCCATGGCTGGTGGGGGCGGAGTGAGGTCTGGCCAATGAGTCAGGGACAGGGCTCCCTCCCTGTCCTACATTCAAGTGTCGCTCCCTCTGTATCTCCTGGGGGGTCTCTCCAGGCCCTGCAGACGCCAGGACGGTAGTGGTGGGGGAGGAGTGGTATTTCCTCCGTATCCTTCCGGCATCTCCCTGGCCCGGGACCTGTCCATCCAGCTCCTCGGTTGAGGATTCCCCTGGGCTCCCAGGGCGGGCCCAGTGCAGCGTGCCCAGGCTGTCTAGCAGCTCCTCCATCTGTCTTCGTCCCTTTAGGCTGCATCCTCCACTGGAGCATGCCGCGGCCGAGGACGGAGGCCTCCAGCGGTCCATGAAAGAAAGCCATCCAGAGACCTTCTTTCTAGTTCATTCTGCTCTTGCGTCCGAGCATGCCATGTCCCTCAGACGCCCCCTTGGGCAGCCTCGGGCAGGTCCGCCCCGTCCGCGTTTCCTTTCACGGTGTCAGGAACTGCAGCCTGGAGGCTGTGGGCCGTTCCCTGTCAGTAGTTTTCATCCCAAGAGCAGGGTCCACCCAGGGACTGCGGCTCAGGGTGGCTCCAGTGTGAGTAAGGGAGATGTCGTCCCTTCGGGGGCTTTCCTTCCCGGCTCTGGCAGAGGCCCCGGGCTTGGTTTTGGCATCAGCAGAGGCTGGCACACGCGTGTCCACCCACCCTCTGTGGTGCACAAGCACAGTGCACAAGCAGCGGGACCCACGTGTGTCCAGGACACGGGGCTGCAGCGTGCGCGGGTAGCCAAGTCCATGGCCCCAGCCCTCCTGCGTGGAGAAGCCCGTGGTCAGATGGCACAGCCGTGCGCTCAGAGAGGTGTGTGCCAGCCAAGGGCCGCGGCCCCTGCGGCCTGTCGGGGCATAACTTAACCGAGGGCAAAGAGAAGGCGGGGACACCGGGGGTGGGGTCAGGGAGGACGTCAGTAGTATCGATCCCGCGCCTGCCAGCTGGTCACCCAGTGCTTCTTGGCGGGCAGGGTGCCCCCCGGAGGTGGGTAGCGTTCCTCCTCTGGGATCCGCACGGCGTGGTACTTGGGCATGATCTGGTAATAGCGGGCCCGCTTAAAGAAGTCACACTGAAGGTGGGGGGAGAAGAGGGAGGGCGTCAGCAACCTGTGGGCAGATGCGCCCCGCCCCCCCCCCCCCCCCCCCCCGCCCAGAGGTCCTCGAAGCCGGGACCCCGCCCCAAACACCCACCGATGCTCTGCACCGAGACCCCGCCGTCCCCAGAGGAAGGAGGAGCCGAGGAAGGCCGAGAGGAGAGGGAGAGGCAGATGGAGGCAGGGGCAGCGCCGAGGTTGCTGACGGGATGGCTAGGAAGGGTGGTGATCGGTCCTGACCGCAGGATGGGGAGGGGTCAGGTGGTCACCCTGGTGGGTGTTCCCAGGGGGAAGGCCCTCCTTCTCTGGAGGTGGACATGGGGGTGTAGAAGCCTCTGGAAACTTGCCTTGTGAGCTACAGAGATGAGGCCTAGCCTTGGTCTTGACCCCTTTTTCAATCCCCAGGGAGCACGGGAGGGTCTTACGGCTAACTCTGGGCTCCCAAATCCTCCAGGGGCTCGGTGGGGAGGCTGGTGAGAGAAGACACCATGAGCTCTCCCGGGGTGTGGAAGGGAGGCCGGCAGAGCGGCCTGCTCTTTGGGGCGGTGCTGGGGACAGAGTGGGGTACAGAGAGGCCCCACGAAGGAAGAGGCGCAGACAGGACAGAGTCAGAGGCCCCGGCCAGCTGGCGGCTCGGGGAGGAGGGCCCGGAGGCCATGTTACCCGGGTGGGGTGGGGGCGGGGGCTGCCCCCTCAGTAGTCTTCGGTCAGCCTTTCTGTCTCTGACGGCTGGCTCTTCATCTCGGCCTTCTGCCTCTTAGCTTCATACAGGGCGCGAGTGCGGGCTCGCTTGAAGAAGCCGCACTGCGGAGGGGAGGAGGCGGGAGGGGCCGTCAGGGAGAGCTGGGGGTCCTTGCCAGCAGCACTCATGGTGGGTGGGGGCTGAGGACTGGGAAGCTTGGAGGCCTGGGCTCCAGCCCCCGCTGGGTGGTGTGGCCGGATTCCCCTTTCCAGCCTGCGGGCCCCCCATTAACCCAGGGAGGAGCAACCCGAGGGTGAGGTGAGGATGGGCACGGGGTGAGGCCGAAAGCTGGGGAGAAGGTGGGAGGACAGGGGAGAAGGGTGGGGTGCGATGGAAGGGAGGGGTGGGGTGAAGGGAGATTGCCGGGGGTCTGCCAGCAGGAGGCCAGCGGCCAGTGGGGCCCTCACCTTCCACAGCAGCAGGATGATGAGCCCCAGTAGCAGCAGCCCGGCCCCCACGGACACGAGCACCAGCCACAGCTGGATCTCGGTTGGCGTTTCCTCCTTCAGCTCAGAGTCAATGTCCACGGAGAACTGGAGGGGGTGGAAGGGGCTCAGCCCTGTATCCATCCGCCCCTTTAGACCCCATGCTCATCCTTCCTGTCCCAGCTTGGTCCCTGGCCCTGCTGTTTGATCTACTGCCAGTAGGGGGTGCTCAGGGACTGGGAAAAGCCATGATCTTGTTTCTCCAAAGGAACAGCCTCAGATCTGGGAAGCGGCCTAGGACCTGGGTTTGTGATGCAGACATCCAGGCTTGGGTACCAGCTCCATCCCTGATGAGCCGTGTGACCTTGGACAAGTAAGCTCTCTGAATCTCCATTTCAGGGTCTCTGATCAGGGGATCAGAGTGCCTGCCTCATAGAGTGGCCAAAAGCATGTGTTCTGGGGCCAGACTCTCTAGAGCAGTGGTTCTCAACCTTTCTAATGCATGACCCTTTAATACATACAGTTCCTCATTGTGTGGTGACCCCCCCAACCATAAAATTATTTTCGTTGCTACTGCATAACTAATTTTGCTACTGTTATGAATCGTAATGTAAATATCTGTGTTTTATGATGGTCGTGACCCACAGGTTGAGAACCGCTAGCAGGGTTGCCTAAGATCATCGGAAAACACAGATATTTATATTATGATTCATAACAGTAGCAAAATTATACTTATGAAGTAGCAACGAAAATAATTTTATGGTTGGGGCACCACAACATGAGGAACTGTATTAAAGGGTCGAGGCATTAGAAAGGTCGAGAATCACTGTTCTAGAGGGTTCAAATCCAAACTGTACTATTCACTAGCTGTGCGGCCTCAGGTAAGTTGCTTAACTTCATCTGTAAAATGGGACTGGATACTAATACCTACCAAATAGGTTGCTGGGATGATTGAATGCACTTAATATGAATAAAGGGCTTTGAATAATACTTGGTACACAGTAAGCAATCCATAAATATTTACAAAACAATAAAGAATGCATAGCATACAGTATCATTCTTTTTCTTTCCATACAATGGAGATACACACACATATATATGAAATATATATCTATATATTATTATATGACATATAGCACTATATGACATATATTATGATACAAAATTACATTATATATTAAATATATTTCACTTATAAACTAGAAAGTTTTTTCTGGTGATACATGATTATTTTAAAATTATGTTATTGTTTTTTAAACTACAGTTGCTGTATAAAAAAAAAACAACCCAAAGGTTCCTTGATAATTTTACTCCTGAGAAATAACCATCTTCAACATTTTGGTGACTCCCTTTCCATATTTTAATACGTATGTTAAATATGTGTACTTTTTTCTCCCACATAAATGGGATCTATATGGATTGTACACACTCTTTTGCGACCTGCTTCCCTTTTCACTTAATATCATCACCTTTTGATGCCATTAATAAAGCTCACCCTGATCTCTTCCGGTAACTGCAGAGTCATTGGAGAAATGTACCATAATTTATGAAAGACATGTAGATCGTTTCCAGTTTCATGTCATTACAAACGACACTTTAAAAGAGCCCCATATATTTATGTCCACATGCTTATCCTATTAGCTCCTTAAGTCTGTGCTGGGCAAAGGAGATGTGCGTTTTAAGTTGTAAAAGATATTGACAAACTCATCTCCAAAAAGAATCCATCAATTTAGTCTCCAATCCAAAGCATTTCCTTCCAGTGCCTCGGCCCCACATAGCGTTCCTCTTCCTCATATTTCCTGATCTAATAGGATAAAAGTCTCGTTGCTGCTACTTTTCTTTCTTTCCTATTGAGTTAAACATTTGTATTTTACAATATGTACACTGTCTGTTTATTTTAGGCTGAACCCTACCCATGCACTGGGCCTCTAATATTCATATATATATATATATATATATATATATATATATATATATATATTACACACACACACACACACACACACACACACACACTCAGTGGCCAGATTATTATACATTCAGAGCTTATAATAATTTGGCCTCTCAGTGTATATATCAATACTTTGTCATATGTGCTACAGACTTTCTAAAAAGCAATATATCTATGGCCTCTTAGTTTCCTCACCAGCTCTTTTGCTGGACAGGCAGGCTTCATCTGAATGTGCTGCATCTTATTGGACTTTGAAGATATTGAATTTTTTACAAGTTGAAGGTTTGTGGCAGCCCTGCATTAAGCAAGTCTATCGGCGCCATTTTTCCAACAGAAGATGGTTAGCATTTTTCAGCAATAAAGTGTGTACAATGTGTTTTTTGAGACAATGCTATTATACACTTACTAGACTACAGGATAGTGTCAGTGTAACTTTTATACCCACTAGGAAACCAAAAAATTCCTGGGTCTCTGTGTATTGTGATATTCTCTTTACTCAGGTGGTCCAGAACCAAATCTGCCATATCTCCAAGGTATGCCTGGATATCAATCTAAAATTTCATACAGTCAAACTGGTCACATTTTTCCTCTATAACTTCTGGGTTTACTAAAATAACTTCCTCTCCACATAATTAAAGATTATCATTAATTTTTTTCCTAAAATTTCTCTGGTATATTAGGCTTTATTTCCTCTTTTAAGTATTTAGTCTAACTCAAACGTATTTTCTTATTTATGGTGTGAGGTAGGGGGTTGTCTTTAACTTCCAAATGTGTTCTTCCAAAATGACTTAACAATCCACCTTTCTTTACTGGTTAAAAATGCCATCTGTATAATAAAATGAAGCTTCTGTGCGGTTCCATTACCTTTCTACCCCTTCTTCCAGTACCTTAATATATCTTAAGAAATGTACCATAACATATTTAACCAGCCCTCCATTCGTCTCCTCTATGTATTTCCCACACATCTCCATTTATATCCTTTTCACAACGATTTATTAGAAACTGTCATATTTACTCTCCCAGGTGTAACTCGGAATCAAGTCTGGGAACCTTTTTTCCAAGTTTGCTTGGAGATGGGACATCTTTGGGGAGATGCTGTGTGAATCAAATAAGGTCAAGCGGAGGTTCTTAATCATGGCGAGCACATGAGAATCACGGGGCGGTGGGGTCTTAAAAGGAACCTCCACAGACTCCGATCTCATCGCTCAGGGTTGTGGTCTAGACATCAGAAGTCCTCCATAGGATCCCAGTGTGTAGACTGAGGCCCACATCACTAACGTGTGTGAAACCACCTCCCTCTCACCGGATGCGTGGGCGTCTGAGAAGATGCCCTGCACCCCGTGCCCTGGCCAGGTAACGTGCTCACTCACCGGCACGGTCTTGTTCTCCATGCTGATGGTGGGGACACTGGTTCGGAGGAACAGGGTCGCCCAGCTGGTGACCCTGATTCGGTCAAACTCTCTGTAATCCTGCAGGGAAAACGGGTGGGTGAAAAGAATCAGATGCACCTTCCTCCTGACCTTAACTTCTTTCCCCCGGGTACCCTCTCACCACTCAGCATCCTTCAGCAGCACCCAGAGGATCTGACAACCAGGCCTCCCCACACACAAATGCACATCATTCATTCATGTGTGCATCGGATCCTGTGCTGGATGCTGAGGGTGATAGAGACAATAAAGGTCACAGTCTAGGTCAGGTCTGTGGGCCAAACCTGGCCTGCCACCAGATATGGCAGATTTGGTTCTGGACCACCTGAGTAAAGAGAATATCACAATACACAGAGACCCAGGAATTTTTTGGTTTCCTAGTGGGTATAAAAGTTACACTGACACTATACACACAGGTGGCAGGCCAGGTTTGGCCCACAGGTGGCAGGCCAGGTTTGGCCCACAGACCTGACCTAGACTGTGACCTTTATTGTCTCTATCACCCTCAGCATCCAGCACAGGATCCGATGCACACATGAATGAATGATGTGAAATACATAGAGGAGACGAATGGAGGGCTGGTTAAATATGTTATGGTACATTTCTTAAGAAAAGATTTGGGGTACACCGCCATGCCGAATCATTTACTGAGGTCTACGTAGCTTTGTGCTACACGGAGGAACTGTGTGGATTTATAATCTAGGAGGACAGATGGTTTTCAGCTGGAAAGACCTCCCTGGTGGTGAAGCTTCTGAGGGGGACTTTTAAGGCTGAATAGGAATTCACGTGCAGAGATAAAAGGGGGGGGGGGCGCTGGTATTCTGGAGGCAAGGAGTGGCATGTCAAAAGCATGGAGGTGGGGCCGAAGCCGGTTTGGCTCAGTGATAGAGCGTCGTTCTGCAGACTGAAAGGTCCCAGGTTCGATTCCGGTCAAGGGCATGTACATTGGTTGCGGGCACATCCCCGGTAGGGGTTGTGCAAGAGGCAGCTGGTCGATGTTTCTCTTTCATTGATGTTTCTAGCTCTCTATCCCTCTCCCTTCCTCTCTGTAAAAAATCAATAAAATATATTAAAAAAAAAAAAAAAGGCATGGAGGTGGGAAAGCCGTGGACACATGACAGAACAATGGACACATGAGAGAAGGTCCTTTTGGTTGGAGACAAACATGTCATGTCCACATACAGGCACAGAAACGAACCCTGATACACAGCACACAATAACAGGTGTACAACCTGTCCTGCAAAAAACATGATGCTGTGTCCTTGACACACATGCACATACATGCACACACATTCATGAGGCCTTGCTGTGACCCTGGCCTCACCCTCTCCCTGTTGTTCTCCCCACCCAGGTAGGTGGCAGGGGAGACCTCCAGACCCAGGTACTGACCTCGATGAAGGTGCTGTTCCACACTCGAGCCCGCACCGTCACGTTGGTGAGGACAGGGACGTCGGGAATGGGGCACTCCAGCCACACACAGCGGGTGTGGATGCTGCCACACTTCTGAGATGGGCAGGAAACACAGGACGTGAGACAGGCGGGGTGTCCAGAGCCTTTATGCTTCGCCCCTTACCTTTGACCCCTCCCCTGCCCATGGCTGACCCAAAGGGCCCGGACCTCAACCCTTCACTCACGCATACCCTCACCCCCATACTTATATGTCTAAGGCATATTCTTTGAGTCAACCACCTATAGATGCCAGGGACATGGGTAACATGAAATCTGATCCCTGCTCATGGAAATGGGGCCCAATCTACGACATCCCTTTCCCAGCCTCCTCCCGCACTGAGCCTGTATTCATGCCAGCGCCCTCCACTGGGATACTGCCTCGTACCTCTCCACCCAGCAAGGCCTCTACTTACTTCCAAGTCTCTTCCTCTCTCCCTTTGGACAGGGGGCACCCTACTGCTCCTTCCCCATTCCCCAGCCCTAATGCCCAAAGCTGAGCAGCTGTATCACCCCAACAGGCTGGGGCTCCTGGGACCAGAGCCAGCGTCTCCTCCTTTGGTCCATTGTATTGGCTGAGCCCCAGGGGCAAGTGCAGTGGGGTGCCCTCTGCTCTGACCAGGATGTGGTTTGTGTCATCTCATCAGACTGGGGTCTCCTGGCGAACAGTTCCTATTCCCCTTGTTTCTCATGCCCCCTGGATGTGTGGCCACGACCCTCTCCAACCCTGGCCACTCACCAATAAGGTCTCAGACTTGGCTTTTTTGGCAGCAGCCAGAGGAACAGGCGGGGGGCCCTGGACTCCCCCTGGGTCCAGCTGTCGCCGCCTGCGCTGCGGAGATGGCGGTCTGTCCTCGGGGACCTGAAGAGGGAAAAGGGGCTTTGCTGGGAGGAAGGAATGAGCAGAGGTGAGGAGAGGAAAAAAGGGCAGGGCGCGAGGCAGGATCCCTAAGCGTGTGAGGGGAGAGGGATCAGAAGACACTGGCCTTTCTGCCCTGCAGCATGCAAATGAGATGCAAATGAAAGGTCCCTGTGGTGTCCTTACTGAGAGAGTGAGGTTGAGAGGGTTGACGAGGTCTCCTGGTGGCTGGCAGGTCCAGGACCCGTTGCCTCGGATGGTGATCTCCGTGGGGTACAGCAGCCACTTGCCGTTGGCGACTTCATATGGCCACTCCAGCCCCAGCACTAGGGTCCCCAGGACTGCCAGCCCTTCTCCCACTGGGCCCACCTATAGGCACAAGGGGAGTCAAGATTACTATCTCCTAGGAAACTACCTCTATCTCACCAGCCCCAACCCTCACAACCCAAGATCCCAGACAGAAAGAAGTGCCCCATCACCCTTCCCAGATGTCCACAGCCCAGGGTTCCAGCGTCCCCTTACCTGGAACTCATACTTGAGAGGGCTTCCCACGTCCTCCACGGTCTTCATGCCAGCCTCGCCCATCACCATTCCCCCAAAGTAGCTCTGTAGCCGGTGACTCACCCTAGTAGTAAGAAAGATGCTGGCGTCACAGGAGACACGAGGGACTCTGGCAGCAGGGGTGGGCACCAATTCTGGCCATCAGCCTCTGACATTAGGTGGATCTAAGATCCATTCCAGTCCTGCCATAGTTGGGTGATCTCAAGCAAGTTATTTATTCTTTTTGAGCCCCTGTTTCCTCATCTGGAAAATGGAGTTAGTAATGGTTGCTATATCATGGACTGTTGTGAAAAGTCAATGAGATGATGTCTAGCACATCCTTAGCATCATGAGCTGTCAAGACATGGTACCAACACCTTATTCCCCAGAGTTGCTGATTCCCTCACTGCTGCTGGTTTTGCAGGAGGAATAATAACAAGCACAACAATGACCGTGGTGGTGGTTGGGGGGAGCGGGGGAGGCGCGTGCGCGGGCGGGAAACCAGGCTAAGAGAGGTGTGTCAGAGAAGCTGGGAGACACCTTGAGGACAGGAAGGCCCTGGCCCGGGGAGAGAAGACTGGGGGGTCCTGGTAGGACCTACATGCTAAGCGAGGCCTGGAGAGTGTAGTCCACCAGCAGAGTCAGGGTCATGGGCAACAGGTTGTCCTGGTGACTTGACCTGGGAAGGAAGTGCAGGGAGTGGGTAAGGAGATATGTCAGCTGAGGCTGGGGCAGGGGGAGGTCCCCGGACCCCTGAGCCCCCATCCAGACTGGCTTTGCAAGGTCGCTTACGTGGAGAGCTGCAGCTGCGCCTGGAATTCCCGCGTGTGCAGGGTCACCCCGATGATCTCGAAGGCGATGAGCAGCTCCATCTGCCGTGGTGGCCAGGGAGGCAGAGAGGGGTGTTTGGGGCCACACAGGGGTGATGCCCTGGGGCGGGGGCTGAGGACTATGCTAGATTGGTTCTCTGGCCTCTTCATCGCCCCCCTCCGATCCTGGGGGAGGGTTCTCCACCTCCCCGCCCATCTCCTCTTTTACCTTCCCAGTCACATCTCTGCTTCCCCTTTCCTCTTCTCTGTCAGTGACAACTCTGCTCCTTTGGAGCTACATGACTTCAAGTCAGTTGTTAAAACGCCCTAAGCCTATTTCTTTTCTGTAAAACAGCATCTACCACCTCCGAATTACAGTCAGATAAAAGAAGCAAAGTGTTGGACTTAGGGCCTGGCACATAGTAGGTGCTCTGCCAAATTGGCTTCCTCACCTCCACCCCCTCTCGCTTTGTGCGTAGCTCACCAGTGGCTCCATTTTTCTCAGTCTCTGGAGTTCTCCACACCCCTTACTTTATCTCCTGCTCCCCCACTCTGGCTCTCTGCTTCAAGGAAGGCCAGGAGCAGGCAGACTGAAGCCAGGAGAATAGGAGTGGCCTTGGAGAATGTGGCCAGGGCTTACCCTCTGGTTCCGTTTGAAGGGGTTCCCCAGCTCACAGAGGATGGTCTCATTGGCCTGGCAAGTTCCAGACTAAGGAAAGAGGATAATGAGGTCAGGGTGGTCCGAGGAGGGCTGGCCCCGCCCCTTCCACGTATCACAGAAGCTGAAGCCCTAGAGGCTTAGCCCCAATACAGACTGCTGTGAGATGCTGAGAACAGAGATGCTGTAGGCACGTGAGGAGGCCCCGCCCAGAGAAGAGGGGACACGTGACACATGACAACACGTGTACATGATGTGCATCCCTGGATGCAAATACATGCCGGAGCCCGAGTTGGGCACTCACAGGGCGCACGGAGGACAGCAGCAGGGCGGGGGGCACCGCCAGGGTGAGCAGTGCCTCGTGGGCGTCCTCCCCAGCCCGCTCCCTGCTTGGGGTGTTGGTCACATTGATGCTCAGGTACAGTTTCCGGAGGTCTTTGCTGTACTGGAGCCTGAAAAGGGAGGAGCCTTAGACTGAGCCCAAAGCCCCGCCCATCTCCGTCCCCACCCATTAGGTCCCGCCCCTCTGGCCTAAGCCCCTCCTCTGGACAGCCAGGCCCCGCCCTCTAGACCCGCCAGGTGAAAAAAAGCCAGTGAAGATCAGTTGCACATCCTACCTGGACAATGAAAGTCCAGCCTCTCAGCCTCGCCTCCCTCTGAGGTCCCACCCCTGGCCGGTGAGGCCCACCCCTCGGACCTCCGCCCCTCAATCCCATTAGCTAAGGAAGGCCTCCCCAACCCTGGCCAACAGGTTCGGCCCAGTGCACCTGCTCAGCCGCTGCCCCTGCTCCGACACGAAGGCCGCCTGCATCTGCAGGTTGCTGTCGCACTTGTTGTCCTGCCCGCACTCCTTCTGGAAGTGGACCTGGGAGGACAGAGGTGTGAGGAGCGCAGGACCGACTGACCAACCTACCAACCAACCGACCAAGCAGTGCCTTCTCCTCCCACAGCCCTCGGGCCCTGCCCTGCCCGCCCGGCCTCACCCACCTCAGTGTGGTTCTCCAGAGCCTGGGCCTGGTTGAGGACTGGGTAGGCATCCAAGGACCGCATCCCCAGCCGGGGCTGGTCAGGTAAACGCAAAGGTAATGAGTAGTTCATGGAGATGACGATGGGCCGGAGTTTGTCGCGGACGTTGTCCTGGGAAAGAGGGGGAGCTGAGCCCAGCTCTGCACCGCCCCCCACTGCTGAGTTGAATCCTCACACCACCCGCAGTCCCCAGGGAGGAGCTTGGGCCCCCTTCCACCTGGAAAGCTCCCCCCCCCCCCCCCCAGTAAGGCTGAACTTCCTCTTGTCCTAGAATAAAATTGATCTCCTTCCTATCACCTTGATCTACAAGGGAGATGGGGTTCAGAGATACCTCTGGGGAGGTGTGAGCCTCCCTCCATCCCTGGGGTCCACAGTTGGGGTCTCCCTTTTCACCCTAATGTCCCAGAGAGGGGCTGAGTTTGCCCCCAATTCATAGACTCATGTCCCCCAGAGCTGAGCAGAGCCAAGAGTCTCACAACCCTCACTCTTCTCAGGTCTCCATCTCTCCTTTACCGCATGCTGGGAGCTGTGTACTGTGCCCCCTGAAGACCTGTGGGTTTCCAGGGGGTACAGTACACCCCAGTCCCTCACCCTTGACCTGGGGGGGGGAGTGCTGGCTACCTCTCTGAGGGACGTGGCCCTCCCCGGCGCCTCCCTCACCATCAGGAGCAGCTCTAGTTTCTGGCAGCGCCTCTCAGGCATGGAGAAGAAGCCATGGAGGACAGCCGACTGGCTCTGGGCGAAGCGGAGCCGGGGCGGGCGGCGGTCCCGGTCTGCCTCCAGCGTGTAGGCCAGGGCTGCAGGGGGAGGGCAAGGTGGTCAGCAAGCGACCAGGTGAGCCTGTGCTCCCTCTCCCCCCCCCTCCTTGCACCCCAGCACTCACTGATGTTTCTCCTGTAGTTGGGGTTCCCAGCACTCTGGTTGTAAGCAAAGCACAGCTCCACCTGCACACTGTTGGGGGAGGCTGGTCACAGCAGGACCCAGACATCTGGCCCACACTCCCACTCCCTTTACCCCTTTACCGGGCAAGGGGACACAGGGCCCTTCGGGGGAAGGGCAGGGGCAAAACTGGGAGTCCACACACAGCTGGCCTGGGGTGTCCCTGGCTCCTTCCCTCCCCACTCCCATTAGAGCAGTGGTCGGCAAACTCATTAGTCCACAGAGCCAAATATCAACAGCACAACGATTGACATTTCTTTTGAGAGCCGAGAACCGACTTCTGCACATGGGCCACGAAGTTTCAATCGCACTGTACATGCACGCCCGCACGTGATATTTTGTGGAAGAGCCACACTCAAGGGGCAAAAGAGCCGCTGTGGCTCGCAAGCCACAGTTTGCTGACCACTGCATGAGAGCCATAGAAAACAGGGCTAGGAGTCCCCAATGGGGAAACTGAGGCGGAGAGCAGAAGGGGCTGCCTGAAGTTGTGGCCCCTTACTGTAGCCAGTATATTCAGGACCTCTAGTCCCAGATCTCCTTTTATTTATTTATTTATTTTTTTTAACCAACTCTTTTTGGTTTTTATATTTTTATTGATTTCAGAGAGGAAGGAAGAGGGAGAGATAGAAACATCAATGATGAGAGAGAATCATGGATTGGTTGCCTCCTGCACACCCCACACTGGGGATCAAGCCCACAACCAGGGCATGTGCCCTTGACTGGAATCGAACCCGGGACCCTTCAGTCCGCAGGCCAATGCTCTATCCAGTGAGCCAAACCAGCTAAGGCCAGCTCTCCTTCTATGTCTCCTTGCTCTGTCTCCCTCTGCCTTCTGACCCAATACCCTCCCTCACACAAAGACCTTGGGGTCATCCACATCATGGTCGCCGCCTCAGCAGCTAACGTGTTTTAAGCATTCGGGGTGGACAGGGTACCATGCTGAGGGCCTTTTTGTCCATTATCTCATTTAACCATCACAACAATCCTGCGAATTGGCTATTACTGACTTGGTTTTACAGGCCGGGAATCTGAGTCTCAGAAAGATGGATAACTCGCTCCAGGTGGCTCTCTTCTTCCCCACCGCCATCCAACCAGCTGTTCCCTTGTCCTTCCTCCCCCGGGACCTCACTCCCAGAGCCCACCCCGTAGCACTGCAGTGGGCATAGCTGGAACTTGAGGCAGGCAGTCCAGAGCTCCCACTGCTAATCTCCATGCCTACTGCTCCCCACCCCAATGCGAGGAATTTTGCTTTTTAATGAGGTTGGGTAGGCTGGGCAATGCTTACCCCAAGAATCAACCTCCTACTGGTGGGATATCAGGAGTTGCTGGGGGAGGGTTAAGTGTCTCAGCCAGGGCCCTCCTGGTTTCCCATCCATAAGGAGGGATGGTGGGCAGAGCAGGGACTGAGTCTCACCAGGAGGTGGCTGTGCAGAGCGCGGGGTCCAGCACGGACGGCCTGGCCACCAGGGTCCTGTGGAGGATGTTGATGACGGGCCTGGCCCTGCAGAGAGAACACGCCGCGATCAGCACCCCCTGCCTGCCTCGGGCCAGGCCGGGCTGGGGCTTGGGCTCGGGTGGCCCGGTGGTGAAGGCGACCGGAGCCAGGGCTCCCTGCAGGCGGGGCTGGAGGGGAGAAGCCCCCTATTCACCGTCGCCTTGGCTCACCGCAGCAGCACGATGCGGTCCGACAGGCTCCCCACAAGCAGGTCCGGGTAGAAGTTCTCGTCCACGTCCATCTTCCCACTCAGGGAGTAGCCGAAGGAGGCCAAGCCGGGGAGTCCCAGCTGCTCTCCGTGGATCACCTGGGGGCAGGGGGAGGCACTGAGGACAAGCTCTAGGGTAGGGTCTGGGGAGGGGGATCCAGGGGGGTTAAGAAGGGGGTGGATGAGCCAAAAGAGGGAAGGCCCCATCCCTGTCCATTTGTACCTGCTGGGGCTGCTGGCGGAGACCCCTGGAGCTGCTGTGGTAGATGTACACCGCGCCCAAGCCCTCAAATGGCGCTCCCACAGCGATGTCTGCGGAAAAGAGGCAGAGTGAGGCCACCCCGGGGACTGTGGGCCCCCTATACCCCCAGCCCTGTGCTCCAGACACAGAGCCCAGCGTGGCCTTGACCTCACCCTGCCAGGCAGTCCTAAAATCACCGGGACACAGACCTCTGTGGCTCAGGATGAAAGCTGGGACCGACAGGCACCCAGCTGCCTCCTTGCATATGTGGGAAAGGAGGTTCAGGAGAGGGAAGTGACTTACCCGCTCAGACAGCTAGTTAAGTGTCTCAGACAGCTAGTTAGTATCTCAGGAAGGCCCACCCTCCCGACTCCAGCCAGTGGCTGCTGTTCATCTGCCCTCATTACAGTGCCTTCCATCTCCCCCACCAGCCTCCCCTCCAGACACCTGCTTCTCCTAATGTCATTTACCCACAGGGTCACACAAGCCGGGGTTTAAAAAAAAAAAAAAAAGGAGATCTGGAACTTGGGACCCTGAATAAAACTGGCTGGGCCACAACTTCAGGCAACCCCTTCTGCTCTCCGCCTGTTTCCCCATTGGGCACTCTCTATCCCTGTTTTCTATGATCCCGGAGGCCATGTCTCTCTAGCACCAGGGAGGGGAGGGGCTGGGACCTGAACCACAACGCTACAGTGTTAAATGTTCAAGTGTCCAGCCTTGTAACATTCCAACCGTGATTCCCCCTGCATCAACCCAAACGGTTTCAGCTTCTTAAACCTGACTCAACCCTGAGTTTGCTGCTTTTGATCTGATAAGGCCTAAGCAAACAGAATGCCAAGCTTGTTAGCAAAGTATGTGGAGGACGAGTAAGTGGAAACCGGTGACTCCTGCACCAGTATGTGCTCTGGGCTGCATCAGCCAAACTCGCTGTCACCGGTTCGGGCTCTCTGGCGGCTCCTTTGGTTCTTAGTTATGTTCTGGGAAACCGAGGATGCCAGAGAAATGACTTCCAGATGCGCCAGGTGCTCCCATGGCAACCAGGCCACCAGCCAGGTCTGATGGGTCCCTACGTGCTGCAGAGTTCTGGTGACAGCCTCTATATCCGGGGCTCCTGCCTTTTCCTAGCTCTTAGTGCCCCCTCCTGAGACACTGCATTCCTGATTCTAACACCCCGGCCTTGCTTGCCCCCATCTGTCCCACATCTCCTTCCAGAATGATCATTCAAGGTACCAGGGCACCAAGCTATCCTATCCGATCCCTGCTCCCAGACCTTGTCTGGGCACCCCTCTATCATGACCCACATAGAAAGCCTGGCATTCAACAACATTCACCTCACCCCTACACTCTCTCTCTAGCCTCGGCTCTGGAATGAACACCCCACACCTGCTAGATCTGGGTACCTCGGGCACGTGTCCTATCTCCTCTTGTGCCCCTCTGCTCCCTCCCACGCCGCACCCTCAGCCCAGCCGTATGTTCGCTCCTCGCCTGTGGTGGCTCCCTCTCCCCACCCCATCTCCAGCGCTGCTGTAAGCTCCCCAGGCCTGGGCCCCACCTCCTCCCCTCTTCGGGCCCTGCCAAGCTTGGTATGCGGCTGGCACTCAGTCTGCGGGGGCACTGGGGCAGGGGTGCTGGCTCATACCTTGGAATCCATCCTGGTTGATGTCACCAATGCTGGCCACGGAGAAGCCGAAGGCGGAGCCGCTGGGGCCGTGAAGGAGGAGGGAGGGCTGGGCAGGGAAGGAGGTGCCTGCCTGGTTCATGAAGACATAGACGGCGCCCCCTATCTCTTCCTTCTGCTCAAAGTAGTAGGGGGCACCCACCAGGAGGTCCTGCCACCTGCACAGAAGAGAAGGAGGGGGACATGGGAGCGTGAGGCCAGCCTGTGGTGTAGCAGGCATAACCATGCCAGGACACATGGCTGTACAAATGGCATCCCTGGCCATGCGTGGTGGGAAAGCCAAGGAAATGCCAACGTGAGCCCATCTAATAGAAAGCACATGCGAGGAAGACATGCGTGCACAGATCACACCCAAAAGCCCACGTGCACCAGAGCCAGGGAAATGACCGGCATAGACAAGGAGAAGCAGGTGACACGCAAACGCCTAGAATCCCGTAAAGTCTGATTGCAAATCAATAGACAAGATTAATGTGCAAATCCCTGCAACCGCATGCAAACCAACGCAAGCATCCCTTTCTCTGCCTTGGCAAGCCTGCTCCCCTCACCATTCTCCCTGGCCCCAGAGAACGTCCCTGGACTCTCACCCATCATTGTTCAGGTCTGCCAGGGCAATGGCGCTGCCAAAATAGGAGCCCACCTGTGTGCCCTCCAGCACCTGCCTCCTCCGCAGGTCGCCGCCTACCTCCTGGCTCAGCAAGAAGACAGCACCCATATGTCGGTGCCGCGGGGCACCCGTCACAATGGTGATGTCTGTAGGGTGCAGGATGGCGCTGCCCACCTGCACCGTGTACCCTGGGATGGGGGAAGGTGGTCAGTCAAGGCCCCAGTGAACTCTGTGGCCTTCTCCTCGGGAGGCACCGCCGAGGTCATCCCCCACTGTCTTCTATTCTAAGTTGGGCAAGAAAGTGGTTCCTGGATGCCCACCCCCAGTCCTGTCTGTGCATCGGATAGTGAGCCCTGAGGGTAGGGACTTTGCATCTTGGCGCTCAATAAGCACTAATTGAACTAAATACCACTAGTTACATCTGAACCTTGGCCTCACCCTTCCACCAGGCACCAAAGGTGAGAGGGCCAGCGTGCCAGGGACGGAGCCCCTGCCCCCCCTCCACCCATTGGGCCACCACGCCTGGACTCACCAATATAGAGGTTTCCTTGGTCCTCCTCGTCCTTATAACTGTATTCGGATAAATCCCACTCCTTCCGCTGAATCATGTAGCTGTTTCCTTCCGAAGGATTTGGGGAGAGGGAGTGTAAGTCACCACCTCTTCCCTCCACCATGTCCAGGCCCCCTCCCCAGAGAAGGATAACTGTAATCTCTTAAAGTATTTGTGCATACTTTGCCAGGTGCAAACCACTTCCTCTTTATTTGAACAATTCTGTGAAGTAGCCAGGCTGGTGGAGCTCAGTGGTTGAGCACTGACCTATGAACTAGGAGATCAGGGTTGGATTCCCAGTCAGGGCACATGCCCGGGTTTCGGGCTTGATCTTCAGTAGTAGGAGGCATACAGGAGGCAGCCTATCAATGATTCTCTCTCATTGATGTTTGTATCTTTCTCTCCCTCGCCCTTCATCTCTCTGCAATCATTAAAAAGATATTAAAATAAAAGTAGCCCTAGCTGGTTTGGCTCAGTGGATAGAGCATTGGCCCATGGACTGAAGGTCCTGGGTTTGCTTCCAGGGAAGGCACATACCTTGGTTGCAGGCTCGATCTCTGGCCTTGATTGGGGTGCATGCAGGAGGCAACCAAGCGATGTCTCTCACATTGATGCAAGTCTCTCAGCAGTAGCCCCAGGATGCAGGGGCCAGGTGGGTAGCCCCAGATTGGGGGCAAGACTAGGAGGAGATAATGGCATGAAGCTGGCATCAGTGTCCAGAGTGGGGGAAGTGTTGTCATCTAGTCTCCATGAGCCTGGATGACCAGATTCAGTCATGTTTGTATCTTTCTCTCCATCTCCCCTCCACTCTCTAAAAACCATGGAAAAAATAATCCTCGGGTGAGGATTAACAACAACAGCAAAAAAAGAATGATGACGCCCCCTTCCCCCCATTTTGCAGATGAGAAGAGTGAGGCTTAGGGATGATGAGCTAGTTGTAGGGACATGACTGAATCTGGTCATCCAGGCTCGTGGAGACTAGATGACACTTCCCTCACTCTGGACACTGATGCCAGCTTCATGCCATTATCTCCTCCTAGTCTTGCCCCCTAACTGGGGCTACCCACCTGGCCCCTGCATCCTGGGGCTATTGCTGAGAGTACCTGCCACTCCACCAAGATTTAAAGGACCGGGGGGAGGGGGAGGCAGGACCACAGGAGCGAGCAGAGAGAGCCCTCAGTTCAGGTGAGCACAGAGCTGTGACTAAGACCCGGGCCAGGGGCCGAGGTCCTGGGCTCCCTCTGCCTGTTGGTTCTACAACAATAGGGAACAGTGACAGGAGATGGGTGGCTGCAGCTACAGCCTGTGTGCGGAGAAAAGCAGAGGAAGGGGGTGTGGGCCGTCAGGCGTGTGTGCCCTGGTAGTTACAAGCATGGTTCTTGGTACAGGGAAATACTCTGCAGCCCCCAATAGATTGATCTATATGTCTTGACATGAAAAAAATGCTCAGAGTTTACTGAAAAGTGAACAGATAAAGTAGTAGAACAGCCTGTTTAGTGTGATTCTGTATGAGTGCGTACTAAAGGTACCTCTCTATTCTAAAATAAGTCTGGAGGGTCCACAAGATGGAGTGTACACTGGGAAATGGGAAAAGGAAGGTGGGTGACAGCAGGGATGAGAGAAGGGGCACTTTTTATTTTACCAAATCCTACTGTACCATTTAGTAGTTGCACCAGGAGCATGTTGTGTTTATTTTTAAAAAATATATATTTTTATTGATTTCAGAGAGGAAGGGAGAGGGAGAGAGAGAGAGAAACATCAATGATGAGAAACATCAATCAGCTGCCTCTTGCAACCAAGGTACATGCCCTCGACTGGAACCGAACCCAGGACCTTTTGGTGGGTAGGCCTATGCTCTATCCACTGAGCCAAACTGGTCAGGGCGCATGGAGTGTTTCTTAAAATCAGTTTTTAAATAGACTCAGATGGACCTGCATTCTAATTCAGATTTCAAGCTCACTGTGGGCTTGAGCAATTCACTTCCGCTTCTCTGAGGCTCGGTTTTCTGTGAAATGGGTACACTAATACTTGCCTCCTAGACTATCTGAAGGTTAATTAAGATAACACGTGGAAAGCCTCTGGCACATAGTAAGTGCTTTCAAATAGCAGGGCTTGTGGTGGCTGCTGAACCTGGCAAAGGGGGTCTATCTCTCTGCCCCCCAGTGCGGAGGGTCTCGAACAGCTGTCCCAGTGGCCACCTGGGTGGGTGGTCGCGGCTCCTCCCCTCGGGTCCTCACCTTTCCAGTTGTAGGCACCGGGAGCTCCGAAGTACACCGTGTTCTTGGTGAAGCCGCCGCTGGTGCCCAGCTGGCACATGCCCGTGTCCAGGTAGTCCGTGTTGCTGTTGCACATCTCGTTGTGGTAGGTCTGCCAGTCGTCCGTGTGGTCCAGCTTGAGGTTGTTGCCCCGCACGTAGCACTTGCCCACCATGCGCCACTGCTCCTCCGACCCCGACCACAGCACCTGGGTGTAGCGGTGGGCACAGACCTGGGGACCCCACCCCAGCACACGGCTGAGCCCGCAGCAGGGACTCAGGGCCAGCGGTCCCTGGGTCCTGCGCGCCCCTGGCGTGGCGGAAACGGAGCTGAAAGGGGACCCCTCCCTGTTTTTTTTTTTCTCCCTGCAGGGAGGCCTGCCCCTGCGTCTCCTTTCCGGAATGCTCTGAAGGTGGGAAACACTCTTTGGAAGGCCAGAAGGCACTGGCTTTGAGAGCGGCTCAGAGATTCTGGCAAAAGGGAAAGGGGGAAGGATGAAGGAATGTGGGTTCAAGCGCTCAGGTCTTAAGGGAGCTAGAGCGCCAGCCGATGAAGGAGCTTGCTTCTCCGCTGTCCCCAGATGACCCTGCCCTCTTAACGAGAGGACAGCTAACAACAACAGCAGCGGCAGCAGCTAAAACGGAGCGCCTGCTGCATGCCAGACACAATTCTAATCTCCTCACACACGAAGCCTTTTAAGCCTCCCAACAACGCGATGGGGAAGGGACCTTCCTTCCTCCATTTCAGAGGCTCCGAGAGGAGGGCTCTGTTTAAGCTCTCACACCTCGGGAGAGGCTGACCGGCTCTGCAGTCTCAGCGGTTACGCGCTAGGCTGCGCGGCCTCTCCCGTAGCCTCTCCCAGCACATGCTCGATAAATAGTTCTGGGATGAGAGGGAGGGGGGGGAGGAATGTTAAAATATGTACACAGATAATAATTTAATTTAAAAAAAAGTAATAAGTAAATAAATAGTTCTGGGGCAAATCAATCAGAACGGGACGCGTGTCCAGCCGCCAGGGGCCAGGCAGACACCCAGCACCAGCCTCCTTCGCGTTGGCTTACTTTCTGTGTCCCTTCCCGCCGTGAGCGTCACTCCCACTGGCCCAGCCTGACGTGTCACCACTAAGTCCCTGGTGCTGGCACAGAGCATGGCACACAGTAGGTGCTCATTAACAACTTGTTGAAGGCCCTAACCGGTGTGGCTCAGTGGATAAAGCGTCGACCTGCGGACTGAAGGGTCCCAGGTTCGATTCCAGTCAAGGGCATGTACCTTGGTTTCGGGCACATCCCCCGTGGGGAGTGTGCAGGAGGCAGCTGAATCAATGTTTCTCTCTCATCGATGTTTCTAACTCTCTGTTCCTCTCCCTCTCCCTTCCTGTAAAAAATCAATAAAAATAAAAATAAATAAAAATAAAAACTTGTTGAAGGAACAGATAGATGGGTGAGCAGACAATACGGAAGCACCAAGAATCTAGGACTGCCTTAAGGGGTCCCAGCCCCACACGATCGTGACAGAGGTCTAACATAAAGGTGTTTGAGTGAAGTGATGCAAGCCCGGAGCTTAAAACAGTGTTCAAATGTGAACGGCACAGCAGTGACAGGGATGGAGGTGGTGACTGATGGAAAGCGGGCATGCTTTCTAGAATGCTGGAAATACTCGGTTTCTTTAACGGATGTTGGTAACACAGGTGCATAATTTTCAAAACTCAATGAAACTTACAATCTGTACACTTTGCCATAAGTAAATTTTTTGTATCAGCTTTAAAAATCTCTCTGTGAGATTCAGAAATTGAGGGCCCCAGGGGCCAGCGCTGAAGAATGTGGGCAGGATGCCCAGCTGGCATGGCTCAGTGGTTAAGCATGGACTTCGGAACCAAGAGGTCACGGTTAGATTCCCAGTCAGGGCAAATGGTTTTGGGCTCCATCCCCAGTGGGGAATGCATTGATGTTTCTATCTCTCTCCCTTCCTCTCTGAAATCAATAAAAATATATTTAAAAAAGAAAAAGAATGGGGCAGGAGGTGACAACTGATAAGGGAGCGGGCCCTCAGACCCAAAACAAGTGAGCTGGCGTCAGCAGGATTGTCTCTCTCCTGACAGCCAGCCAGTCTCCGAGGAAGGAAAAAGACCAGACCACATGGCCCGAGGGCCTATCTGCCCTTTTCTCTCTGCTGTTCCTATAGCTGTTCCCACGAAGGGTGAGCAACCCAGGGGGTAGCAGGGGTGGGGCAAGGAGGAAGTGTGATTCAGACAGGACCCAGGCCATGCTGGGTCTTGGGAGAGTGCCAGGACCCTCTCCCCCCCCCCCCATCCGAAAGTGCGGGGTTGAGACACAGAGAGCCATAGACTAGTCATTTGCAAAGCCCCAGCTCATGCACCAAAGACTCTCTCTGTCCTCTGATTTCTCCACAGCTCGGAGGAGATGAAGGAGAGGGCTGAATGGGGGGAACCGATTTGAGTGTCCACTTACCAGGACTCTGCCTGCAGGGCCCTGGCTGGCCACAGTCACCCCAAGCCACATGTCCTCAATTTTGTGATGGCCAGGATTACCTGTGAGCATGGGAGGGATCATGGGTCAGGGCACCCCATCCTCCCAGTGCCCAGAACGTCCAGAGGGAAGGGTCGGTCCCTCTCGGATCCTCCACTCCAGCAGGGCAGCTGTCCCTCCTCCCTCCTCCAGCCCCCCACAGTCTGAGCGCCACAAATCCCATATGGTCCCACTCTCCTCTAAGACTCCCTCTTCCCAGTGGGACTAGAAGTGACTAGAGACTGCCCAGGGGAGCCTTCATCTCCTGCAGGTCATTTCTCTCTTTGCTACCCTCTCCACCAGGCTCCTGGCCCAGCACTGACCCCCAGCCCTTTCCCCTCACTTTTCTCTGTGATGTCCATCCTCTCACAGTCATCCTTGCGGGCACTGAGTGGGCACAGGTACACAGCACCGGTCCGGTTGGTATAGCGATCAGATATGGCGAGGTCACGGGGAGCACCAACCAGGAGCCTGTGGGGCAAGGAGGTAGGGGGCCTGAGCTCAGACTCCCCAAAACCCACTTCACACAGCTTGCTGTTAAACATGCGTTTATTGAGCATCTGCTCTGCCGGACTGTGTGCCAGGCCCTGGGGTCAGGAGATAAATGGGTCCCAGCCCCCTGACCTCCAGGAGCATGCCTGGAGGACAAGGCAGGCAGGAAGCAGACTTCTGCAGGGGAAAGCAGGGTGTAAGCCAGCCCCGATCCTGCATGAGGGGCAGCCAGGGAAGAGGGGACCTGGTCTGAGTCTGAGAATGTTGACCAGGCCGCCAGGTGAGGACGGGGAGGAAGGGCACTCAGACATATGTGTGGCGTGTGCCCGGGGCCAGGAAGCATGAGCAAGCAGGATGACTCAGGTATCTGCAGGGTCCTGGCACCGCTGGAATCCAGGAACCTGCGGGGGAGACAGAGTGCAGGGTGCAAAGGGCCTTGGGGAGCCGGGGAGGGATGTTGAGCAAGGTCAGAGCTGGGAGTGACATGGTCAGAGCTGGGTTTTGGAAGGAATGCTCTGGCCTCTGAAATGAAGGCAGACTGAAAGAGGGCAAGCCTGTAGGAATCCTGACGCAAGGCTCACCTTCCAGGAGGACCTGGGAGAGAAGATGTAAGAGGTGGCTGGGTCCTTCCACTCTAAGCCATCTGAGGACTTAGGTCTAGGAGGAGTGGACCTAAGGATTCCGAGCCATGTTTACACCCCCACTCCCACTGCCACCTGAAGACAGGCACACAGTCATTGGGTGGGACTGGGTACTTGACATGTTGGGAATTCTGTCCTCAGGGCAGTGCTGTTGGAAAGTGGGAGTGCCAGTGGGCACGGGTGAGAAGGACTACCACCTTGTCCCCAGCCTGCCCATCTGTAGGGGCAATGACTACAAGTTCCCACAAGGAGGCTTAGGGTCCCAGCCACCCATCCCTACCACAGAGGGGATCAGAGGACAGAAGGCAGGGATTCGCCTCGGAATTTAATTTCAAGAGTCCTTGGACCACCAGCATCAGAAACCCCTGGGATTTGTGCTCAAAAGGAAAATTCCTCAGCCTATCCCAGACCAACTGAGCTGCATATGAATATGAAAACCTGCAGGTGTGACATGCACCAGAAATATGGTGCACCCAGTTTGAGAACCCAGTTCTACCACTCCTTCCTCTCCCAGCACCACCTCTCTGCAGCCTCTGGACATTTTGCCAGGACCGCCTCTTGGATTCTGATAGACCCAGCCTCCTGGGTGGCAGGCACCTCCTAGGAGCCCCTCCACGGGGCCCCCGCAATACCAGCACCCAGAGGCTCCCAGCTCAGAACTCAGGCGCTGGGCCTCTTGCCAGAGTCTGGAAGTGCCGAGCCATAGCCCGCCTGCAGCTCTTCCCTGGAACCTGTGAGTGAAGGTTTCAGGGAGTGGGCAGGGCGGGGCCTAGGCATGCCAGGACTTGGGTGCCTCTGCCCACTGGGTGTCAGGAATGCACGGCCTGGAGGTGCTGGGAAGGGGGTGGGGCCCCTGCCTACACCTTACACCTCAGCTCAGCCTTACCCCCGGGGAAGGGTTAGGCAGTGCCAGGCAGAAAGGCTGGCAGAGGGCCGGCGTGGCAGCCAGGCCGTGAGTCACTCTCTGCCTAAGCTCAGGAGGGTGCCTGGTGACCACCTATGGGCACCTCCCCTAGGGAGCCTGACAGGTGAGAGAGGGAGGGAAGCCTTTCGAAAGGAACTTTCCAGCTTGGGAGCCTAAGGGTCCGGCAGTAAGATTTGTTCTGCTAAAGGGGCCATTTCCTTTCCCTTTCTGAGCCTTGAGCGCCTGGTCTGTGACATGGGGACAGCAGCTGTGCCGCCACTCTCCAGGGCTGTTGAGGGGGACAAACGGATTCTCTCTCTGAAGGGACTTTCTGCCTATAAAGCCATGGTCATTCTGTTACTGAGACCCCAGGCCTGGCCCCAGCACGCCCCAGGTACCCAGAGTTTCCGTTCCACCGGGTTAGGGAGCCTGCAGCAGAGGACCGACAGCAGACGAGTCCGGTTATTTAGAGGGAGCAGAGCATGGGGCAGGGCAGCACTTCCAATGCCTAAGGAGGCCAGGCCACCACGAAGGCGGGGATGGGGCCTGGCGGCTGGAGCCATTCCAGGCGGGAGCTCAGAGTGGGCTGGTGGAGGCGGGGGTCTTGCTACAGTGACCCTGAGGGGGTGGGCCCAGGCCTCAGCGGGCGAGAGGAGGCCAGGCTGCCTCCCAGGACTGCAATGCAATGAAGTGTTGCTGCTCCTGTGCTGCTTGCCCAAGATGTCTGAGGGAGTGAGCAGAGGGACCCTCCTCTGAGGCTCCTGGGGAACTAAGCAGGCAGAACTTGGTACAAAAGCAACTGAATTGAAATAAATCCCCTTGCCCTAACCGGTTTGGCTCAGTGGATAGAGCGTCAGCCTGCAGACTCAAGGGTCCAGGTTTGATTCCGGTCAAGGGCATGTACCTTGGTTTCAGGCACATCCCCAGTAGGGGGTGTGCTGGAGGCAGCTGATCAATGTTTCTCTCTCATCGATGTTTCTAACTCTCTATCCCTCTCCCTTTCTCTCTATAAAAAATTAATAAAATATACTTTTTAAAAAGAAAAAAATAAATCCCCTTACCATCTAAACCCTCCCCGGCCTTGCCCCAACCAGTCTTGTGTCTACTGAGGAACGGTAGGGCAATGCCAGGCCCACATCCCAAGCCCCTCCCTCCCCAGAGATTCCATAGGGAGCCTCCACTCCCACCTCCTGGAGTATTTTTAGCTCCCACTTGGCCTGTTCAGAGGCCCTTTAAGGCCCTCTGGCTCCCAGCCCAGGATCCAATGGGCCTACAGTCAGAGGCCTGCGAGTGGATGGAGGAAGGTGGGGCGCAGAGGGTCAGATCCAGCTGCCTCCAGCCACAGCCAGATGTGGGAGAACCCAGTGTGGGGAGAGACTTTACTGACATGCAAATGTACTACAAATTAATATGCAAATGAGCACCTGGTCCAACAGCGGGCAGCAGAGTGAATCCAAAAGCTGATCCCTTCTAGACCACCACAGAGCCCCCTCCCAGCAGCAGTCAGAAGGAAGGAGAATAAGAGGGAGGCACTACCCAGCCCCTGGAGCAAGAGGAGAGATCAGACCAAACCTCTCTTGGAGTCTGGGCTGGGGGTGGTGGGCAGGGAGCCCCTCAGGGAGGTAGGGGAATGGGCAAGATGACCTCTTAAAGGCTTACAAAGAGCTGTCTCCTCACCCAGACAGCCCCTCCTGGTCCCTGGGAAGCCCCCTTGGGCCCCAAGTTCCGGAAAAGCACTTCCTCACTCCTGCCTCTCACTCTGACAGCTCAAGGCTAATGGAATAGCCAAGTAGAAAGCAGTAGAATGCGAGGGGACTGGGGTATGAGGCCCAGGGGTGTCAGAGCACCAGGCTGGCTCACCCCAAAGAGAAGGCCCCCCTGGGATACTGGAGTGTGGGGCGATGCTCAGAGAAACAGGCTCCTCCCCTCAGGGGGGCGCTGGGGTGGCTCCAGTGGGAAGATTTGGATTAACCCGGAGAGGGCCAGAGGGTCCAGCGCTCAGGGTAAGGGGCCCCCACCTCAGGGCTAGAAGCTGGCTGGGGAGGGGGCTGCCCCAGCTCTGAGCCCGGGGTGGGGTGGCAGCAGTTCTCAGATGCCTGGATCCCAGCTCTGTGCCAACCCTGCTGCCGGAATTAGCCATCTCCCAGAAGCCACTCCTGTGGAGGCTGAGACGGCAGCCCGCTCTGTCCTCCCCTTCCTTCTCATGCTGCCCAGCCGGCACCCTCTCCTCTCTGGTGACTCAGCCCTAGAGCCAGAGCAACAGGAGGGAGGAAGGGATAGAATGAGGGAGGACGGGAGAAGGGGCCCTTGGCCCAAGCCTCCGATGAAAAGGAACAAGGCCCGTCTTCTCATTGCTTCTCCCTCTCCCTCGCTCCTCAGTGCTTTTTTCCTATTTGATCCCTTAGGGCATTCTTCATGTTGTCTAACCTCAATTCCTCTTTCCCCTTTGTGTGGCTCTGACGGAGCCCCTTTCTCTTTCTACAGAACCGGCTTCCCCTGCCTCCCGCCCAATGGAAAGCTCCCGGGCCTGGCCGGTCAGTGGGGAGAGCCAGAGGAGAGGACGCGGGGACCCATGCAGCCTCCTGCCTGCAGCGGCAGCTGTTCGCCCCTTTCCTTTGGCACGAGTCTTGGCGGCGGCCAGGTGGCCGCTCTGCCCGGGGAAACGTGTTTTAGGAGAGCACAGCAGGTGATCCTGGTTCCTGCCTCCCTCAGGGATGACCTCATCTTCCGGGAGGCCCAGCCACCTCACCCAGGCTTCCCAGAAACCCTCATTGCCTGGCAAAGGCGAAAGGGAGAGAGGGCCCGGGAGGTATCTCCCACAAGGTCAGGCCAGACCAGGACACTAATTCCCAAGAGGCGACGGAGAGCAGGTGCCACGGGCGGGGGAGCCATGGCTGTCTCCCCGAGGAATAGCTCCTCTGCTTCCCCAGAGGACCTCACGCACCTCAGCAAGAAGCCTCTGCTCCAATCCTCACCCCTCAGGTCCGGCGACTAAGAAATTGGGGCCTGGCTTGGGGTGAGCCTCTTAGGTTGTGGGCAGGGGACCCCAGCCCGGAGGTGGAGCTGATGGGTTTTTAACCATTACTGGAAGAAAGCCTTCTTTGAGAATGTGATGGAAGCTACACTCTCCCTGCTCCCACCCCCAGAACAACACTCACAAACACGCACGATTTTACATGTGCTTTTGGGGATCTCTGCACCTCGGGAAGATCTCCTGTGAGCCCCAAACGAAGAGCTTGTTCGGGACCATGGAACTTTCCCTTTTCCAAAGGGACCTTGAGGCTCACGGAACAGAAGGCTGTGGCTTGACTGCTGGTTCCCCTGAGCCGCGCACTCGGGCAGCTGTTCACATCTGGCTGCACAGCTGGCTACAGCGAGGCCCCGCTGGGCCAGCTGGCTCTCCCAAAGGGCCAAGGAGCAGAATCCAGTGAGACGAGGCGACGAGCCAAGGCCTAGAACCAGCCCTGGGGGAGACCGAGGATGCTGAGCCGCCTAGAAGTCTATCTATCTAGAACTTCTTGCTTCTGAGGGTCAGGCCCACTGCCACCTCTAGCTGCCGGGGGGGTGGGGGGAGTAGCACTTCTCTGCTCAGCCATCTTGGGTGAGGTCCACGGAGAGTGCGGGTGTATCCGGGTCCTGGCAAGAGCCCTCAGCGGCACCTTGGCGTATGCAGAGCATCTGACACACGTTATCTCATGGAAGGCCCACTCTTACCCCATGAAGAAGGCGTGTTGTTCCCCTCCCCCTGACATGGGAGGAAACGAAGGCCCTGGTATTAGAGACAGGCCACGGGCAATGGAACTCTGCAGCTTCTTCTCTCTCCACAGGGGCCTTTTCTAGGGTCACAGAGGCAGGAAGGAGCAACAGAGATCCAGGTCCAACCCGACACCTCTTTGGGGAAAACTGGCCCAGAGAAGGGACATATCTTGCTGAAGGTCACATAGCAACGGGGGGGTTGGGGGGGGGTGTTATGGAATCCTTTACTGACACCGGCTTCCCATTATTTCCTCATGCTTCTCTGATCTTCTCTTTGCACGATGCTGCCTTAGCATGGAAAATCTTTTTCTGGATCGGGGCAGAGCGAGCACCAATTATAGAAACTGGTGTGGATGGTCACGTAGGGCCTCCAAAAGATGGAGGACTGGCCAGGGCCGGACCGCAGCCGCTGGGGCAGGGCTGCGAAGGCGGGGGCGACCTTAGCCTCTGCAGAAGCTACGTGGAATTGAGGCCGGTCCAGGTAGATAGGCTGGGCAGGGGCTGGGCCAGCAGGGCAGGAGCCAAGTTTGGACTTTGACATTCCTCAAGTTTACCGGCCTCAGCCAGAGGTGGAAGAGGGTTCAACACACCCTTTTTATGACCACGTCTTCTTGCTCAGAGGATCAGACTCGAGGGGGGTGCGGGAGCGGGCATAGGTCCGGTAGGTGACCCTGCTCAAAGTGACGGGGCCTGCCTGACCTGTCCTAACCACCTTCCCTCCCGGGACGGTCCTCCTGGGACAGCCTCGCCTCCCCCAGCGGTTCTTTCCCCGAACTGCCCGGTGACCTCCTGAGTCTAAGGCAGAGATACATCTGAAACCTGGACATGCCCCTCAGGGCATGAGTGTGTGGTGAGCGTGGAGGAGGGGCACACAGCAGCTGGATGCCACCTCCTTCCCTCGCTCCCCTCTGCCTAGCTCTTCCCCTCCTTCTTCCAGCTGGCGGGGAAGGAGAACAGAAGGAGCAGAAAAACACATTTCCCTCTTCAAACCAAACAAACACACTCAGGGTTAAAGAATCAACATGAATCTGTGGAATGCAGGAAAGATGTCTGCGGGGAGCGTGTCACTGCTGGCCTAGGGGTGAGGGAGCAGGAGACCAAGCAGGATTCGGGACAGCCCCCTCCTCTCTCTCTTCTACTCCCCCGCCCTCAAGGGGTCAGAGGGAGGCCCTGGACAGCTCCAAGCACCCAGACTCATCACCTCACCCTCCAGCTGCGGGGAGGCTGAGAACCCCTCCAGTCTGTCTCTGCAGAGGGTGTGGCTGGCGTGGCTGCAGACTTAATGGGAAGTGTAAAGGGCGAGAGCTTAAAGCAAGTGCCTATAGGTCCTCCCCAGGAGACCGGTAAGGGAGATCTATCTTGCAGTGCTCCCTCCCCACCCCCACTCCGCTCCCATTGCTGGAGAACAAGAGGCATGCGGTGTACTAGGTACTCAATTCACGGAATGGAAGGGACTCAGGGGAGCGGAATCCCAATGCTGCTCTCCCGAGAGGTTTAAAGGGCTGAGGGGCTGCGTCTAGACAGGTTCTGGCTGGGTCAGCACTTGCCAATGATTACTGCCCCACTCCCACCCCCATCCCACGCCTAATCCCTTCACTTCCCGCCAAATCTCAGCAGCAGGAGGGCTGCCCAGGTCCCCACCCCCTTCATCTTTGCTCACAGTAGCCGGAGGCCCGTGGGCCAGGACTCAACTCCGGATCCGCACCCTGCACGCACACACACACACACACACACACACACACACACACCCTCTCTCGCCCACTCCACCCCCCGCCGGCCGCACTCACAGGTTGCGCTGCTGCGGCTCCGTCTGCCGGTGGAGGGCGACCGAGTAGCCGAAGAGGCTGCCCGGGTTCCCGGCCTCCTTCACCACCAGGAATCGGGTGTCCAGGTTGAAGGCGGAGGCGACGCGGCCGCCGGCGGCCACAATCAGGGCGAGCGCGCAGAGCGCCGGGCGCAGGACCGGGCTGGCGGGGCGGGGGCTGGGTCCCATGGGTGCGGGCGGGAGCGGGCGCCCGGGCGGGAGCTCAGGAGGACGCGGGGCTGGGGGTGCGGGACTCGTTCACCTGCTCGCCGCACCGCCGCACTGCTCGGCCCGCCGCCGCGTTCTTCAGCCCCGCAGCGCCGATCGGCTGCACATCCGCTCACGTCCGCGCTCTCAGGTGCGCTCCCGGGTCCGCGGGTCTCCTCTCCGGCCAGCCCTGCCTCTGCTCGCCGCGCCCCCGCCCCGGACACCGGGCCCCACAGCTGGTCCCGGCCGCGCCCCCTTGGCCGCACAGTCGACTTCGATCCCGGCTGGGTGACGGATCTGGGCTGGCCGGCCGGGAGACCGCAGGGAGGCGGGGAGGGAGGGGTGCTTCCGCGCGCCCCGCCTCCCCACGCCCAGCGCCGCACCTCCCCACCTTGCGCGCCCGGCGGCGCTCCCTCTCCTTCCGGGGAAAGAGAAGGTCCGGGCTCCGCCGCCGCCTCTTAAAGGGGCAGCACCGCCCCGCCCTCCTCATCCCCCCAGGACGGCTCCGCCCTCTCCCCCCAAACACCTGTCCAGGGCCCCCCAAAGGCTTGGATTCCCCCTCCCCGTCCCCGGTCCAAGAAGCGTCTCCTTTGGATCCAGATGGATTGCACGGGCGGGGCTGGGGGTGGGATTTGTCCTGACGGCTCCGCTGCTGCTGCGGCGGCTGCGGTTGCAAAGGCCGTTGCAGGCGCGGCCGCCGGCCCTGCGGGAGGGAGAGCGGGGCGGGCTGAGCTCCGCGCCGCGGGCTGCACCGGCCGCCGCGCCTCCGCTGTGCTGGGCTTCCCTGCGAGGCGGCTGGAGGTCTCTGGGCGTTCTTCCTCGCACACAGCCCCTTCGCTGTCCTCGTGGAAATTTTTTTTTCCCCTTGCCCACCCGCCCCCATCCACCCAGAGCCCAGCTGGGCATGGTCTCCCAGCAAAGCCAGGCAGACATGTAGCAGTAGTAAATCACCAGCATCCGTAGTGGTTAGGAACTAGTCAGCTTTTCCCCCAGAGGGCTGCGCCTTCTGGTCTCCCTTAGAAGCCCATGCATGTGGAAATGATTCTCTTCCCTGCGTGGCCAGGGAGCTGGACCCAGCCTGCACCCACTTCTCACGCACCCCTGCCTCCGGATACTAGCCCAGCAGAATCCCCACGTTCCCCGTCTCCCACACAGGCTCAGGCTGTTTGGAGACGAGGCGGGGATGCCAGCCCCCACAGGTGTGTGGTGGGTGGTGCCAGTTGGCATGAGGTGGGCGGGGCCTAGAGGTTATCCGCAGAAAAATCAGCCAGCTGAAAGGGAACTTTAGAGGTCACTGCGCACTGTATTAAGTCTGACTCAGATTTCCATCACTGCAGCACAAAACCGAAGGAGCTTTGTTATTTTGGTTCAGGAGCTCAGCGTGCAGCACTCACAGCCTTCCGGTTCTGGTGGGTACTCCTATCTGAGCGTTTGGAATAATAAGAAAACTAGTGTGTGCTAAGTCCTGATGCATCCAGAACTATGCTAAGGGCTTTACTAATATTTTTAAATGAAATCCTTGCGACAACTGATGAAGTATTGTCTCTGATTCGGAAGGAGAAAACTGAGGTGCATGGAGAGAAAGTAACTTGGTGAAGGCCACACAGCTCGGATTTTAATCCTGTATTATCTGACACTAGAACCTCTCTTGACCACTTCCACTAATAACTAGTGTTTGGCCGAAACCAGTTTGGCTCAGTGGATAGAGCGTCAGCCTTTGGACTGAAAAGTCCCAAGTTTGATTCCAGTCAAGGGCATGTACCTTGGTTGCGGGCACATCCCCAGTAGGAGGTGTGCAGGAGGCAACTGGTCGATGTTTCTAACTCTCTATCTCTCTCCCTTCTTCTCTGTAAAAAATCAATAAAATATATATTTTTTAAAAATAATTAACGTTTGTATAATACTCAGGGCAGATCTAGTTTTGGTGAGGCCTGAAGCTTGTGCAGTTTGGAGCCCTCTGTAAGGAGAAGAAGGAAGAATTAGGAGTACAGAGTTGGATGCAGAGTCTGGGAGGGGCTCAGCCTAACTTGACAGCTGAGGAAAGTCATTTCACACGAAGGCTCTCATGTCATCCTCCTGGCCTCCCTGTGAAGTCAGGATTATCATCCTCATCTGACTGATAAGGGAACGTAAGTGTCCAAGATCACACAACGCCAGGGGGGCAGCTAGGACTGGCAGCCGCTGACCACAGCTGTGTCTTTAAGAGACAAACTCCAGGCAGATGTCGGTGCGATAGCCAGCGAAGCCTAAACAAAGGCAGCTGGGATAACAGTGCTCACTGCGGTTTTGGGGAGTGGACACTCACCCCTGTCTGACCTGAGGACAGTATTTGTTCCAGAGCCACTCGGCCTCTCTCCGTAGCCCACCTGTGGCCGAGAGCCTCCGGGGTTAGGAGATATTGGACGTCCAGGAACAGGAAGCTGACTTGGCTGGAAGTCGGACTTATCTCGCTCTCCTTCTGATGGCTGCTGGGCCCTCCGCCTTGTTCCGGGAGGAGAGGAAGCCGAGGGGCCAGGAGCTCAGGGGCCAGGTGGACACGCAGTGTGGGCAGGGGGCCTGCCTGTGTGGAAGTACTCTGATGCCACGGAAGGGCTCCGTGCCAGCGTTATCTCTTTGGCCATCCCCAGCAGGAATGCCCAGCACGTCCGATCCCAGGGCCGGGAGCAGGAAAGGGATGACAGATAGCTTTTCCACTCCCCGGGAGTGTCCAGAGGGAATGTGGGAGCGGGAGCAGGGTGCCTGCGAGGGGGAGGGCCCAGGCTGAGGAATGTGGGGGAGTGTCAGACAGATCTGGGGGAGGTGGGCTGGGGAAGGGAGACCTGGAGACTGACTGGAAGGGCCTGTGGGCTGGAGAGTTCATGCCGAGCACCCAGCATGCTCTGGTTTCAGGGAGAGCGTCCAGGGCCTCATCTCATCCTCAGCGGACTTCGTCAGCTCTTCCCCGAGGAGAAGGGACTCACCTAGAAATGTAGGCACAGAGAGAGAGACAGGCACAGGAATACCATGTGTAATGAGGCATCTGGGTCCAGTTCTAAGAGAGAGGGAGGGAGAGATAGAAACGTCAGTGTTGAGAGAGAATCGTTGATTGGCTGCCTCCTGCACGCCCCACACTGGGGATTGAGCCTGCAACCCGGGCATGAGTCCTTGACCAGAATCAAACCCAGGACCCTTCTGTCCTCAGGCTGACACTCTATCCGCTGAGCCAAACCCGCTAGGGCTGGGCACAGTTTTTGATGTTTGATTGCTGATGGCTCTGAAGCCATCACCTCGCCTTCTTCCCCTTATGTCCCACACCTGGGCAAAGAAAGCCTGGGTCCTGACTGCACTCCCTCCTGTGGCAGCCACCGGAGGTTTGGACCGTGCAAGCCCTGCTCTTCCCACACAAATCCTCACCCTGACCTCCCTCCCAGCCACAGTGAAAACCCAGGCCAGTCTCCAGCCATCTAAGCCCTGCTCCCCCGGAGACGTCGTTCACGTAAATAAAACTTGTCCTACCCTCTTGGGAGGTGTGTGGCGTCATCTGTCCCGACATTGACGGGGCCCATCTACCTCTGCAGTGACCTCAACAGCATGCCACTGTGGATTCGGCTGTAGGGCTGGGGAGGCGCCCGGAGGAGGAGTATTGGGCGGGACTGGCAAGAGGGAGCTCGGGGTGCAGAAAACAGAAGAGTGGGGGCCTTGTTTGGGGTGAAGTTTTCCAGTTGCAACACTGACGTCAAAGCTTTATAAAAGCACCTTCTGCTTACGCAGTGTTTGCTGTGTTCACACCAGCCTTCCTCTGTCTGTGCCCCCCCACACACACCCTACCCCCCACCTCACCCGATCTCGCTCCTCCTTGTCCACTTGTCTCTTGAGACTCCCAGACCACACCACTTGCTCACTCCCTCCTCACAGGAAGGCCAGGGCGTGGGCATGATGTACACAGGCAGTGAGTGGACAGATAGAGATGGAGTGGCATTGCGGTGCCACTGGCACTGAATGCAGGCTACCTCCTGCCCTCTCACCTTGGCAAGTGACTTTCCTTCCTTGGGCCTCTGTTTCCCCCGATCTATGAAAGGAAAAGGCTGGAGGACATTTTTCGTTATTTCTCTACTGGTATCCTGTGTGTCCTGTCCAGGCCTCTCTCTCCGACTTGAATTGAAAGTGCAAATCCTGAGGGGAGAGGGAGGAGCTGGGGAGCTTGAATGGGTTTATCAGATTTCCTTTCTCCAGTGACCCAGTTACGGGCCTGGGACGGGTGGGGCAGGTGCCTAGTCCTGACAACTTCCCCGGCTCAGAATCTGTCGGCCTCATTCATTGACCACCTACTACGTACAGGCACCAGCTGGGGGGCCCCAGGGCTGTCAGAGATGCACCAGAGCATGCGCCAGAGGCTGGAGTTGTCTCACGGCCTCACGTTCTGAAAGCTCTCACATTTAAAGAGGCTATGCCCACGTTATATTGTATTTCAGGGCTGGTGCCTGGGGGCAGTGGGCGGTGTTAGAACATTTTGGCTACAGCATGAAGTTGGCATTGCCAAGAGAGATCCAGCTAGCGGGAAGGGGCTGCTGTAATAATTTGGACAAGAGGTGAGGGTCAGAGGAGGGAGAGTGTGAGAAGGCCCAGGGCATGGTGTGTGTGTGTGTGTGTGTGTGTGTGTGTGTGTGTACGGGACAGAGGGGTTCTGAGAATAAATAGGCAGTGACCCAAAGAGGGGCCTGGTGCTAGCCCCAAACACCAGTAACCTTCCCTGCCAACCAACACTACTTCTCCCCCCTCTCCCCCTCCCTCCCCTACCATCTTTCTAGTTCCTCCAACACTCTCCATGGTCCCCTCACTGCCATCAGTGGCATGGCCTTGCTGCCCTGGCTGGGAGGGGAGAACCCTGGTGGGCTCTTCAGCATTCTCTGTCTCATGCCAAGGTGGCCCCTTCAAGGTTGGGAGGCCGTGTGATCACCCCATCTGAGCTGAGTCACCAGCCCCCGGGGCCTTGTCAATCCTGA